ACGGCGTGTCGTACTGGATCGAAGTAACCAGATGAACATGACAAGATTCAATCACCTATTGCTCAGCTTTAGAATTCACGGTCTTAACCCAAAACCAAGAGGTTTATGGCCTCACTTGTGCGCATACCACATTCGGTGCCTGCCACACATTCACTGCTTGTTACTTGGTTGAACTGTTTGGTATCCTTCTAGGGAATTCGACTACTAGATGATGAGCAAATTATTAGAAATTGCCTGATCTGTGCTCCCCGAAAGGTAAGTCTGGACTCATAGTCTGCCTTCGATCTGGTCAGTCTAATGGGATCCCCAAGTTGGTCTGTCAAGACTTGGATTAACGCGCGTCACTATAAGATAAGCTGCTGAGACATAACGCATAGAAAGCACAACCACGTCAATTTTAGTCGAAATCAATATAGCAGTGAGCGTCGTCGCATAAATTCATCAGTTTTGCAAGCGTTTGTATGTATTTTCGTCCTCCGCACGCTTAGAAATTAAGTAAACAGTTTTAAAAGCCATATCCCTACCGCAAGTCCGTAGTAGTGTTTGGTGAGTAGTATGCCTTACTTCAATCACCTGTGGGCAAATTTGATCGTGAGTTCATTAGTTCTGGATCATCCTCACCATTACCTCGTCCAACTAATCAGTTGATTTTTCTGTACTTCAGACGTGTTCCAGTTAGCAACAGGTTTTGTCCACATGTACAGTGGTATTAAAGTGAAGTCTTTCTGCTGCTTCGTTGCTATATATATATATATATATATATATATATATATATATATAGCTTATTTACTCAGATATGGATACCTCGCGCTGTTTTTTTACAACTCTTATGGTGACCTACTCCCGAAAGCCGCTTACTCATTGACTCGCGGGTCATCTTTTGGTCATTTAAATCAGAGGCGAATTACCTCGTCTGTAGAAATATCTATTTTTGGATGTTCTGAATTGAAAACCCGTTCACCATGGTTGTTTGTTGGTACAACTGTTTGATACACTATTCATAAAAAATAACCCTTGACTGTAAACCACGCATCAAGTTGGGTTGAAAGTCCTCGTGTGAATTGGGGACCACATTTTATTTGACCATTTCAACCACCACCTGTTGACATCTCGCTACGGCAGACGAAGTGTACTTTTCAATTATGGCCTCGAAGAAAGCTCAACATGAACATCCATAGACCGTTCCAACTGAGGTAACTAAACTCTTTCCCACGGTACAGCTCAACAGCAAATCCCCATAAATGAGACAACAGCAACACATGATAGTGACATTATTTCTCAATCATCCGAGTAACAACACAAAATAATGTGCGTAAACCCTGAATTACTGACCGGCCTGAGGGTACTCACACGTTGCTCGAATAGTGCTGAGTTTATTACAACGAATGAAGTCGTAGAGACAATAATCGAGGACTGAATTGTGAGCGTCGGGAAAATTGCTGAACGAGAATTCCGCATATTTTCTTTGCAACGAGCAGCTTCCTCAGGGAAAACACTACTCTTTGCACTCGGAATTTCTCCATTGCAACCAGCCAGAGGCTTTGGTCGAGGTTGTCCTCCTGTCGGGAGATGGCGTCCCGGGATCATCTCAGCCCGCATACAACCATGATAAAGTTAACAACGCTATCATGCTACATCGGCCATCGCGTTGTTTTACTAGCCGGGTGAGCGAACACATGCTACTTCGCCTCCCTCCCTTCTTACACTTTCACGTTTTCCCTCTTCTACTCTACCCCGCCCAAGTATGAATACTCTCTCCGCGGGACTAGGACTGACCGTTTTGTTCACCCTGCATTACACTCAGCTGCAGATTCTGTACGTCCAACTTCAGTAGCAATCCTAAGCACTTCGAAGTTTGTTTTCAAACAAGGAAAGCCTGTCTACTTAGCCGCCTCAAATGTTCTCACACTGAAGCTGACAAGAAAACAAGTGGCTCTTGCTCGTACGCTGAACTCCATCTGAATTGACATATGATATCTGTCGGAAACAGGGACAAAGGACGCAAGCAATGCAACTTAACTTACTGCCACCTCACTCTCTTTCAATTTCCGGCTACGCAGACCTAGTGATGCAGAGACCACTGCAACTGGATATGCCGGTCAGGGCATTGTACTGATCGATCGAGCGGAACGTCTCGACTTGATTTGATACCCGTTGGTGGTCGTTTCTATACGGTTCGTTCGGCAACGTCTATGAAAGGATCTCGAGAAAGTGAGGTCCATCGCACATTGTTTATTGCTTCGGCTTCCGCTTACTCTAGCTCTCAATCTGCCAAAGACAGTTTCTCTACCCCCAGCTGCTCTTTCACTACGGACTGAAAGTTCAGGCATCGCTGTGGTTGGTTGTGACCTGAACACCCAAGTATCTAGACCAAGCGCTGCTGAGGCCCGATTATATGGTCCTCTTTGGTTGGATAAGGCATGCACGGACAGTGGTAATCGCCTACGTCAGACGTGTGCCCATCACAGACTGCCCTCTGAAGTACTGATTTCCAGAACAGCGGAAATCGCCTGAAGACGTGCTACCCATCAAAGAACGAGGTCTGGATCCAAGTAGACCAAATTCCAATCAGTTGCAGGCGTTGATGTTAGCTCCTTCAGGAATAGCAGCATGGAATACCATCTTGCACCTTTCAGTTCCACGCAAAACAGGCACATCTCGTTGCACCATTGAGAAGCTAATGGATCGGGAACTCCAATGGACCTGTCGGAACCGGCTCCTCTAAAGTTTTCTGGATGGTCTGATACCGGACAATAATGGCCACTGGGAACAGATTTCCACAGTGCTACTCCGAGCCAAAACTTCCGTTTGGGGGTACAAACCAACCAATTTCATCCAAACAGTATAAGACCATGTATTTATTGAAGGCCAGGCGACAGATTCTTCCTGGCCGCAATCATAGCTCCATCCAACGCATCGTCCGATGCCAGGTAAAACTGAGTGGCCGTGCAGACCGCGGAGCTTGCTCGATACAAAAGGCTGGATAAATAAGAGGCGAAAAGTGGTGGAAACGTCTGCAGGCCGTTTCACTCTATTCGTTCGACTGATCCTCGGAATGTTCTTCATAGCAAACTATCTGGGACCATAACGAATCTCTGATATTCAGCCAAGGAGATCTTTTGAACCGCTAGGCAAAATACTTTGAGCAACAATTCAGTTGACGACCCTCTCATCTCTAACCCGGAATGCCGGCCTTCATCAGCTTCAGAAGTGTTCGATAGTATATCTTTACTCATGCATCATCCTGTTTCTGGTCCTGATGATCTTACACCTGCTCTGTTCAAGGATGAGTGAACTCCTCATCTTGCTTGTTGCTCTTATCTGGAGCAAGAGATCATTCCAGTATCCATCTTAAAAACACTGAAGTAAAAGTGAATGTAGTAACCATAGGGGTGCCATTTTGACTCCCATGGTAATAAGGCTTCCGGTACCACTGAGTCTTTGTCTTCTTATGACTCTGTGAGAACAGAGCAGGATTTTGACCGGGTAGAAGCTGTGTCGATCATAATTTCATGTTCCTTCAGGTATTGTAGCAACGAAATAGGTACATTCTGGTACCATCCTGGTTTTCCCTCACTTTGAGTGTGCGCATGATTTTCTCAACCATACCTGCTCAACAGGGTATGCCCTAAAAGTTTGTGAACACACTCTGATCCCTATATTAACGTACTTCTGGGCACACGAGAGTGTATGGTGGGCTCATTATACTCCTCCCTACAAAACTGGTCTCCAATGAGGATCTTCACTCTTTCCAATCTTGGTCAACTTCGGTACTGATAGAATAATGAGGCAAGTGTTGGAAGGCGTTCAAAACCCCGGTGTTCAAATCGTCGTTGGCGAGAATCTCGTCGATCTGGGGTAAGCGGAAGACGTCCTTATCTTTGAAGAAGAGGGTTAAACAAAAGCACTGTCGAATACACTGAACAACAATACACCATTTTTGGCATGTAAGTCGTACCTCCAAAATGCAGACTCCCGCTTCAAAACGCCCAGTTTTTGAACATACTCCTTACAACTGAAGGAGATAGTATGGAATTTTGCATATCTCGATAGTTGTGTTAGATCCGACGAAGGTGTGTCTGACGCAGTCAATTCACGAATGACAAAGATTCGAATCACGTTGGCTGATTCACGTTACTTGTGGCTTTCAGACAACATATTCCCGGGTCTCAAGGGTTGCATGTACCAGGCTATAATAGAGTATGTATTGTTGAATGGCTGTGAAAAATGGCCTCTGCAGACAGATGATACGCGGTGTCTTCGGCCTTTTGGTCATTTTTGTCTCAGAAGCTTTGTTGGTGTCACATGACGTCAACGAATCCGTCACAAAGTAATTAGAAAACTGGTACCGGGTTAAGAAGCCGGTACTTCAGTCTCGAAAATATCCAGCACCATCGACTGCAGTGCTTGGGCCATGTGTTATGCATACCGAAACGGCATCTATCAAAACTAGTGTTGTTCGCCTTGCACCCTTCATAATGCCAGGGGGACAACGCATGGCTTGGCATTAGGGTGTAAAATAGATCACGAACAGTTTAAATATTGTTTGTGCGGCCGCCTGCCAGGATGGAGTCTGCATGACCCTCTGCGCTTGGCTGGAGACATTGCAAGAAACAGCGGCTGATCGATGTCAGCAGAATGTTTCCAGTTTCTTTCCAGATTATCTGAGTGCCTGTAGGTGTATGCACCTCAAACTGCTTGCGAAGGGCCAGCATTATGTTCCTTACCTTTCTTCACTCGTTTTTTTACTTTTATACTTTGTGGCTCTAAATATAGTTAGGTAAACTCCACTGCCAAGCAAGAGTGAAGCACCATTGTCATGGTGATGATAATGGTGATATGATGATGATGATTATTATTATTATTATTATGAAGAGCGAATGTTAGAAAAACCATCTTTGAAGAGTGTGGGATGCCAGTTTATACACATAGGAGTTTTTAACGTGACCTGCGTGCCCTGAAGAACACTCGACCTGAACACATCAACCCTATTGGACGAAATGAACCCTAGTGGTACGTCAATACCAGTCCACCACCGGCAACGAAAATCCAGAGTGAAATTTCGTGGCTTCAGCGCAAAAAAGCAACTGCAGCAGATCGTCTGTGTCCTGTACTTTTCAAAGACGATGGAGGATTCCTCGTGATTAATATAATGAATTTGCTTGAAAGTATCTACAGAACGAAAAGAATACCGACAGAATAGAGCATCTCGACGGTCAATCCTCCATTCACGAAGGGTGCAAGAAAATCATGAAGAATCCATGGAGGTTTTCAAAGTGCTTCCTGAAATCATCATATGAAAGTTGATTCATCATCGGGAAAGCTAGAATCCAGATGGGTTTCGCGGAGCTTTGATCGACCATATTTTACTTTGCAGCAGGTACAAGATCATTCTAGACCCCAATTCTGCTTGTGATTCGGGTAATCATCAGAATGGTCTGGTGATGAAGAATATCCCTTCTAAGTCCTTGTCTCTTATAAAAGCTTTGTAGACCTCCTGTCGGGGAAACGTGCGTGTCCATATCGATGTGCTACCTGAATCCTCTTCTAACCTTTTATTACCCGGGGTTGGAAACTCCCCTAACAAGGCAGTAGTTGCCAAACTCCGATATTTGTGCCACCAACGTGACGTCAGCTTGGCTTGCAAGGGTAGAGTGTACAATACTGCCGATCTGTCCTACTTTGTGGATGACTGAAATATCCGCTGTGCGCGGAATAGCTTCGAAGATTATGTTTGGCCATCCATGCCACTGAAGCATTGAGAGGGTCTTGTGTGAACATCAGACGGTTTTCGGGATAGCTGACTCCGTCTCGAGAAGTCAGCTGTTTACATTCTATAGGTTACACTGGTTAGGCCATGTATATCGTACACCAGGTAGAACCATATTCGCCCAGCCTTGTATCGGATGAAAACGACCCCAGGGCGGTCGGTCCATGATTTAGTAGCAAGACAGTCAGCTCAGCCGAGTTGGTAACTCCCGTCTCTACGAATGGGGATTGCGGAGCGAGACGGTTACTAACCCTGACGCATATAGAGGAAAGTGTCGGTAGTTAAGGTAGCTTAGATGGTCGTTGGCTTGTTCGCTGAGCTGGGCAATTTGATTGCAATCGTTTCATCACCAATCGAGGTGACATCATCAGTGCGTTATTGGGGAGCGTAGTGGTGCGTAAGTGGTTGTGCAAACCACTAACGAATATGGCCATGTCGCAAGCCTAATGGTGCTCTTGCATTAGAGCCTCTGCTTTCACTGTGTTGCTCTCAATCCATGCCATACCAAACAAACAAAACTGACTGGGCTGTCAACCTGAATGCGTGGGCCCCATTCCCTTATTCCGATTACCCTTGGTGATGAAGCTTCGGCAGCTGGAACCATTATACTTCAGTGTGCCTCCGTTAGCCGGAAAAATGAAATACACAACGTTGGTCTGGTGTGTAGTGTCTGTAATCCGTTGTCACATTTACCACTCTTCCTGAACTTAAACCACACTTTGTAACTGTCGTACATATTGTATCATGGCGTTTGTCTTAATGTTACGAATACACAATTTTCCGGTGCGACCTTGTAACTGTCGTTCACATTGTATCATGACGTTTGTTTTAATTTGACGAATACACAATTTTCCGGCGCGACCTGCGGACTTCTTGCTGAACGAGTGCATTTACGCTCCATTGAACTGTTTGTTGACCGCTGAACCAGTGGGACTAAATCTGTGTTTGTGTCAACTGTTGAACGTCACAATAAATCCCTGTAACATTTTTTAGCCGTGAATAATTTTCCTACCGTGGAATATATCACTCAGGCGGAACCATCTGTGGGAAATTTCGATAAGTGAATATTTCCTTTCACAGCCAGTTACTGCATTTGGATCGGTGTGGTGGACTATTGGATCTACACATTCGTGGGTCCCCATTTGACTACTCATTCTTTTCCTATTGTGATTTTGTGATTTTGTATTGGTTACTCTGCTTGTTAATTTATCCGAACATGCTGATAAGGTCCTAGTCCGCTACAGGTGCCTAGTTTTACACCGAGTTTATGAAGGATTTTCATTGTTTCTGTGCAAATCTAGGTGCAAAATACTATTAGAAGGCTAGTATTATCGAAGCTTAAAATTCGTCAAAGTTCGCCGTATTACTACTCATCAAAAGAGAGCGCAGAAAGTTTACTTTCATGCCCCACGCGTTTCAGCGGTACACACACAACCTGTCATCACGTCTCACTTGGTGATTGATTTTATCTCGGTAGATGCTTACAGACAGTAGAATATCCTAGAGAAAATCAATCGTTTTGTAAATCGGTCAGTGTGGACTGACAAGTCGAGTTGTTCTTGAGTAGTCGTTCCTACTTGAGTTTCGCTAAACAGTAGAAGGTTCAGCCGTTGGAAGCTAATTCTTCATGTATTCCAAACACGGAGGATCTCGGCGCCATTTATTGATACGTCTGACTTCAAGTAAAAAAATGAGGGATGTGTCGTTTGTTCGAGCGGTTGGTTGTCTGGTTACTCACAACTCTCAGCAACACCAAGTTTAAATCATGTCCAGAATATTTCGCTCAAGCGAATTTTGGTGACACTACACCCGTAGCTTATTTTGTAGAGTCATGTATAGTACCTCCATATTGGGCTGCTTACAAAGATTAGCATGCTATCCTTCGTTTTAATTAGCTGGGGTATTTTATTGAACATATCTGGAGCATGGTTCCCAAACGAATGTTGGTTAGGATCTCTTATGTCGAGTGCTGCAAAGGAGTAGTTGTCGAGTAATTCGACGAAATGGTCTTGACAGCAATGCACACTTTATCAGTGCGCATATGACATCCTAGGGTTTGTGCGCTAGCCGAATAAAAGTTATAAATCTGATAAATGTCTGTTTTCACCTTTAGGTATCTTGAATAGGCTGAACAGAACCGGCGAAAAACGGATGAACGTAATATTGTTTCGCACGACGAGACGATGTATGGCCATCTGGGCTGAAACGTGTTGAGAGTGGCCCGATGTGCAACAATTGTCGTAGTTTGAAGGTACACGTTTTGTGGCAGGGTAGTAGCAAGGTTTCAGTAAAGTGTTCGCAATAGATTAGCAGCTAAGTGACGGTACACATTTTCACTTGAAAGCTTTAAACCGACCTAAGTGAACACATCAGCGAAATACACTGATTTGCAAACAAATTTGGTTTTGCGAGAGAGAACCCAGCTGAATCTCTCGTTTGTGCTATTTCCAGGCGACTGAATGTGCTGTACCAGGTCGCCTCATGTTTCAGCCGCTACGATATTCGAGATATCGCGATACATGTAAATTCGTAAGGCACCACTCATTCGTCGACAGCCCACGACCGGCTTCGCCCTTCTTGGGTCTCATCAGGTAGGCGCAGTCCCTGAGTTTCCGTCCACCTTATGTTCTACTTGAAACCAAACTGCACGAAATTAGCGATATCTCGAATATCGTAGCAACTGAAAAATGAGGCGGCCTGGTGCAGCACATTCAGTTTCCTGGAAACGTCACAGACGAAAGATTCAGCTGGGTTCCGGGTGAGTCTCTCGCAAAACCAAATTTGTTTACAAATGAGTGTATTTCGCTAATTTAATGCAATTTGGTTTCAAGTAAAACATAGGGTTGACGGAAACTCGGGAACTGCGCCTACCTAATGAACCGCAAGAGGGGCGAAACTAGTCGTGGGTTGTCGACGAATTTTCAGCAACCATATGAGTAGTGCATTATGAACACATCAGTGTTTGGCTGCCCACGTGAATGTCTTGCTGATTAGTGTAGGTTATGGATCTCCAACCTACGTCCTGTCCGCAAATTTGATTCGTCCAATCCACGGTTAGTTACTGTTAGCGCCGAAAATATTTTCATTCCAAAAGGACTGTGGTTAGGGTACCATAGTAGGCCAGTTGGTGAGAAAAAACTCAGCTGTAATGAAGCTTGTTTTCGAGGTAAACAGAAAAGTAGTTTTTTTCGATAAGCAGCGAAAAAGCGGGATAAAATTAAGACTCCTTCAGGTTAATGATGTAACTGATTCTTGAAACAAGCTTTGAAGAATCTAAAACTATCTGGGAACAAAAGTCAATTAACTTTATCGATTTCTCATCAAGTCGTTACAAGTGATGCATCCGAGTGAAGTTACAACTTTCTAGTTAGCTTACGTTTTTTGAATTGCAGAACACTTATCTGCATTTCCAGTACACTACATTATACCGGTACGATAAAACAAGACAGTCCTGGTATGCTATTACTTATGATCGTTTAAAGCGGTCATTCAAAGTTTCGTAGAAGCAAACTTCTTGTTTCAACAGTCTGCATAACAGTTTTGTTTAGGTGACCGCTAAAGTTCAACTAACGTCGCAAGTTGCTTCTGCTGTAACCAGAAGCCTTAGGATATAGCAACCCTGGTTCTAGATACTGGTGAGCGTGTAGTCGATCGATAACTCACTGTGCATGCTACCGGTCGATCTCGTTTATCCGATAAATGAGTAGCACAGTTATCCAACCCCCCCCGGTAGTGTACGTCACAGGGCAGGACAAGTTTACATCAAACCGGTCGAAAGTCGGATAGTTCCTGAATTCTACTTCCGACAGTTCCAAGGACTCAAACTCGAATTAATATCGGCTCCGTGCTGTATACCATCACAATAAATGATTCCAGAGAAGTTACTACGCAGCGAAAACGTCCCAGACGATGACAAGAAATGTTGGTCGTGTGAGTGAACTTAAAACTTAGATGTGGTGCGATTCTGTCCGTGCAGAGTAAGGACATTCTGATGAAATGCGGAAAGCCTGTCAAGATACGAGATTTGGAGATATTTTGGGTTAACGTGAACACAGTAATGGAGTAAGCTGACTAACTAAGGAAATCATTTGAAACAGGGTGATCAAGTACAGTGTTCGTTTGTAGAATACTGGTAATAACTTTGGCCCCAAGGTAAAAAAAACAACATTTCTAACTTGGCATTCAGATGAACTCTGCCGTGTCAGTCTGTTGCAGTACTCTTTCTTGAATCTCTCGACTAAGCTTCCTGTGTTGTGTTTGAACCTCCTTCATGTCTAAATCGATCCAATCTTGGTATCCGTGGCTTTTTGACCCCGATACTTTGTCTTGGACAATGAACAAAGGCAGTGAGACAGAGTCACCACTACATGATTTGGACGCGGCCGATGTCGAGGCTGACTGCGTTTATTACTTGCTACCTGAAGTATCTACCGGCCATTATTGCCACAGGATTGTTCATAAGAGGGACCCTCAAACAGAGGCTACTCCTCACGACACTCCAAAACAAGCATTCTTAACAGATTTATACAGGAATTCCTAACTCGACAGAGTCTATCCTTCTAGCTCCCTAGATATCCCAGACCTTTTTTGAAAGAGGAATTTTTAAGAGGAAGGGCACAGATTGAACGACCTGTAAAAAACTAAGTTAAAGCCCATGTATCTAAGTGGGCACATTGCCCATGTCAACTTGTAGAAGAATTCTACATTGTCTGATTAACCTTATTACTCCCCCTAAACGACAATTTACAACTCGATATCCGGAATATTCTCTCCTTTGTGATGAAAGAAATAATAATGTGTCCAACCTTCCCATTTCAGATACTGCTTCTTTGGGGTCATTTGTGTGGCATATTCGTGCGCCACCTACTGACTTCATTATCGGTGGAGATAGGACCCAATTGAATAATCTTTCAACTATGCGTAGATCTTGCCGTTCTACTGTGAAAGTCTACACTGGGTGCTATTCCTGAAGAGCTGAACAAAACATGCCTTTAAGTATGGTGTTGAAGACATGGTCTTGGAACTATTTAATCATGAGAGGAAAGCATACGTTTAGAGTATTGACTGTTTCTGAATAAATTTAAAATGCTTTTCGAGATCCTTTGGGTTACCATCACTAGCAGTAGCAGATCCGAAACTGAGAGAACCTAACTTTGCATATTGCTGTGGGGACGTTTTAAAAAAGGGGGTATAAGCAAAATAAAACTGACAAGTGACGTGAAAAGCAGCTAGTTTTCAACAACCGTAACCTGTGGTGAGACTCAACAATATTGCGTTGATATTAGGAAACAAATGGAATCAAGGAATACTGACTAGTTCGTCAAAAACACTCCTGTAGTTCCACATCTTTCCATCTTTCAAAAATCGAGATCAAACCAGGAGTGCAACCTTCCGAAGACAGTCCACCACAAGTTGAAGACTGAAATGGTACTGGCCCGATGATGGCCCCTCTTTGAGAGGATTAGTGAGGACGGATGGAAAGCGAAAAAGAGGATAAGGACGGGAGTCTTCAGTTAACGCAGAACGTATTCACTACAGTTCTTTATACAGAGCTACTTCGTGTGACTATATCTGATGTCGGGTATCCTGTGGGAGCCGTTTGCTCCAGGAAACGCTCAGAAAGTAAAATCCGTACGAAGAGAAGTCCTTTTTAACCATTGAGAACGGGCTTACAATTGATCTGTTTTCCGAGAACCACAAAGATGAGGTACATCAAGTGGTTACTATTAGAGTGCACTATACAATATCCACATTCAGTCCAATATTCTGCCCTCACATTCAGTCGCTCTTGTATTAAAACTACGTATAAATTCTCAAGTTCATGGAATACATACGCGTTAGTTTTCTGTAAACGCAAGAACTAAAAGCATGCCTATCCGAAAATCCGATGTTTAACCCAAGAAATCAAATTGCCCATCAATGATATATAGATAAAGTACGTAAAAATAGCAAATGCCTTCTTTAAAGCGCCATTAACGAGGCATCTTACTATCTTATTTCGGGCATCCAAATGATCAGTCCAGAAAATTTTTCTGCGCACACACGATTACTCCCCACCCATAGATATGAACCGTTCCATTTTCCCAACTTGCCTGATATTTATTGCAACCAGTGATCCTATTATCCTCCGGAAAGTGCAGCCTTACTCGCTTCAGTGGAAGCCCGTAGAACACAAGTGATTGCACGTAGCTAGTGGCACATAGTAAGTGGCTTCGTCAGGGGTGTGTCGTTGAGAATGTATATTGCTAGTCAGGTCCAAAAAGAAATACCACACTGCCATAGTCTGTTTGGTTCATATAATGCTGATTAACATAGAATTGAGTTAGAAGTGATTGAACAAATAACCTGAGTTAACTGATTGACCATCCTTCCAGTGCCAACTAGGACACGAAGCAGAGCGGGCACCAATACCATCGGTTTCCTACCGAAGGGTCGAGAAGAACACATATAGAGGATACAGTTCGGAGACGAGGTGGAATATTCGTGCAAACCTGGTTCCTGGACCATTTAGTGTGAAGATGTAAAGCGAAGATGCATTTTGATGTTCCGTGCAGGTCTATATCCGAGCTGGAAACCGTCATTCTAGCCTTCTCAGTTTGGGGTATGTTATGGCAGGCCATCTATTTAGATTTTGAGTTTAATTTCTGGATTAACGTCTGGCATAGGGATAGAAATGGTTCAAGATAACTGCGTCTTATCATTGGGTGAGGACAGGTTGTTACGTTTTCTTTTTTCGGTTTCCGGATGTTGCGCTATGACGTATGAAAAAGCTGGTTTACTAGTTATTCTAGCTTCTGAATAGACAGCGAATCACCAAGCTGGTGTTTTTAAGACCTTCAATGATCACCTACCCATAGTGGCCAATTCGCGAGACTATGAAATTAGCTACCTTAAAGCAGACAGCTAAACAAATGAAATTTGGGGGTAACAAAATATCCAGAATTCTTATCTCTGAAAGAACTCTGATCAAAAGAAAAGTAATGCGCCTTGGTTTCAAATAGTCAGTTTTATTTCAGGGTTCTGGGAACTCAAAGTCGACCATCTTCTTGGTTTCTCTTTTGTTTGTCGTGAAACCTGTCTTACGTATATCTGCAGCATCCGGCCCTTCAGATTTATCCTTCGTGCTGAAAAATTAACGTAGACAGTTGGTAGTAATCTCTTGGTGGAACCAGCATTATTCAGCCATTCTCCAAATATGGAGCAATGGAACCCGAACTTGAATACAGAGTAATATCGAGCTCTCGTGCGATGCACGAGATCCACCTTTATCACGTCTGGTATTCCGCACATAGTCCCAGTTTCAAAGACTTAAACATGGCGGGAACAGCATAGAAGCCACAGTTGTAAAGTGAACTTAAACCGTCATTTTCACTTCATTCCTGTTTCAAAAGTGGAAACCACAAGAAGATGGCTATCACTCAAGAGAAAGATCATGATCCTCCTTCTCTAGACATGTGCCTGGAAACGCGAAGAAATATTTGATGGAACCTAAGTCTTGTCATTTCGGTCTCCACTGCACTCCTCCTACTCCTCACTCAACAATGTAGTCGACTGAATAAACCTCATTCGCATATGTAAATCAATACAAATACTCTCAGCACAAGACTGACTGACCTCTTCCATCAGTCTAACGTCAGCAGTACAACTCAAGGCTGGAACCACTAATTTGGTTGTTCAAAACTCCATTTGTCCAGGAGACCGAATGATGAATGACCAAAGGACGATGGAAATGTTATGCTGCCTGGCAGTCAGGATAGTTTTATAGTTATCTTGGGTTGCTCAAAACAGGTAATACGATTACTGATGTTTTACGAAACAGCCTAATGTAGAATACTATGTACATTTTGTGCTCCGCTTGGATCAGCCTGAAAACCAAATGCACACTCCTGGAAAGAGATGAAGTGAAATGCAGTTATCTGTCGTAACTTTCTAAGGGACAACAGAATGTATATCGGTGAAACGAAGAATATGACAAATTACTAGCAGAATTAATAAGACGGGTCTACTAAACCCAGCTTACTGGGAATGACCTTGACACCAGCAATCATGGGTTCGTTGGATAGCATAAACCACAGTGAAGAGGCTGACCTTGCCCGGATATGGTCATCTGAGCGAGCGAAATGGCAGTGGCCGGATTACATTTAGCCGCGCGGTAGGCCAAACACGAAACCTATCGGTTCCTACTCACTTCAGACCAGAGGGAAATGTACAACAGTTTGGGGATTTCGCTTTACCTAACCATCTGTTTCCATTCACCATTATTTGAGCCTTCGTTAGATCGGTATAGGCTAGCTTCTTCTGGATAGACTATTGACGTAACGATGACGAGGGAAGTGTTAAACCTTATTTTGTGCTTTGCGAAAGCTCTACACTGAAAACTTATTTTAGCCTCAGGCACGAGCAACGGATGTAATTCTATGACCCGTGTGGATGACACCATTGTTACAGGCTCATCAAACGAAATTATAAAATACGAGGTGTACTAGGTGTTCGACCGCAAAAATGGAGGACCAGGAAATGGTGATGGCGGGTGTCAAGTGACCTGCGTATTTTTTAATTCGGACAAAAATCAAGCATTCCAGTAACTAATATTCTCATATCTGAGGACCTTCATTCCTCCCTGAAACATTGAAGTCCCCCTGAAAAAAATCTTCCTTTTTGGAACCAGAGGAGTAGATTGAGGCTTTGGTTAAAAGGTTTTGCTACCAAGGCAGCTTTTCTGCAGTTGAACTGTACAACCAGCTACTGTAACCGATAAAGAAATGGCACTTCCATATCAAAAAGAACAGTATGGATGATATCTGAGTGCCATCGACCCCGTACGCATGATATCTGACTGATGAGTCTAGCAAATATGAAACTCAAATAGTCGGTTTAGGGGGTGTTCACATAATTTATGGGAGAGGTATGCAAACGGCACAATTTACACATGTTGATTTTGGGCCAAATGATCCTTGAAATTAAAAGTAAAACCCATCGTTAGCACCCACTTCCCAATCAAAATAAGTCGGTTTTTGGAACATGATTCGTGGGTAACAGCATGGAACGGACCCTTACTATCAGATGGTTCAAACTCATCACTCGAAACAAGGACAACTCAGGTTAGTGAGAGAATATCGATCGATCAAGAACGGGACAAACTATTCAATGCAGGACGTTGGTCAACAAACAGGGGCCTGTGATTTGTGCTCAACCGTTTGCTGCGAGTATTTGCGTTGATTTACTCATACAAATGAGGTTTATTCGATCGACTACAGTGTTGAGTGAGGAGTAGGAAATCACATGATCCATCCGCGCTTCCCGGTACATGCCGAGAGAGCAACGGTCATGACCTTCCTGTTGAATGATGATGCTCTCTACATGAGTGAGATCTGGGCTAATCTCCTTGTGGTTTGAACTTTTGAAAGAGGGCATGAAGTGAAAATAATGGTTTGATTTTTTTCTAGCGGCAGCTTTTGTGGCTTTCGTCCACTTGGTAGCATGCGTTACGAATCACTGATTATTTTCTTTTTTGCATAACCACAAAGAAACACTCTATGCAATCGATTGGTTGTGATCCGTTTTTTCCTCCGAAACCTCAAGCACTTACGGTGAGGCCTGGTGCAAAATAGATCAGTTTGAACGGGATCCATTTTTGTATCCAGTCCAGGTTGAAAAACAGTGAGCGATGCCTGTTACTGTTGTTTGCGACAATCATTTTTGTTCGCAAAACTTCTTCATATTTTACTGGTGGAGATGCATCCGGCATCCTCTAGTTAGTCTAGTATTTTTGAAATATCTGAATTTCGAAGGTTGCCAATGATGGCTGAACAGTGCCCACCTCTGCCTAGCCGAATTACATACCATCAGGTTTGAGAAAAAAGCATTGTTGAACTAGTAACATGCGGCAGCATAGTAAGACTGTTTCTTCCCTTTGTCTGTCATCTTGCTTGTTTGTCTGGTGCACTGTGCTTGTCTTCTGAAACTTATGTGATGGGAATTCACCGTCACTCATTTCGCTCTCGGTATGTCAAATATTAGCCTTTCTTGAGTGATAGCACTTCTCTTATGGGGGTCTCACACTAAATCATGTCAGAGAGGGTAGGCTGTTTCAGACTGTCCTGGATAATGGGTTTGGTTAAAAGACATTTCTGTGTTCCTCATATACGTGGATCGTGTGGATTGAAATCAGTGGATAAATATCCATGAGAATATTCTGTTTGCTTGATCTGAAATTTACAGAAAGACCGAAACTCGAAGGCAGTGAACTTGTTGAAATTACATCTCAGGTATCTTAGAACATGAATGAGGAAAGTCCCAAGGTTGAGAATATCATGATCTATAAAAGGTACTTCATTGAATTAGCACTGGCTGCTATTAGCGTGTGTCGAGAGACGAAGTGCCATCCCGAAATGCGGAACAATGTATGCATGGCACGCCACATGTGGGATCCATTGTAATACAACATGTAAGCTCACTAATTTCCTATTAATAAACCTGTTATTAATGGACCGACCAGCATTCCCTGATCAATCCAAAGCCGTCCAACGTACGGGAAGGGATTAAAAATGACGTTACTACCTAAGATCTACACTAAATCTAACTAAAATGGGAGCCGGCTACGTGCTGAGTTCATTTTGGTCCTACGACCATCTGTTTATGCAGTGTAGACGTATAGCCACTTTTCTTATGTATTCTAATGGAAAAGAACGTGCGTCTAGCAAGGTTAATTATCGACGCTTCAGCAATCTCGCGTGACTCTCCTCAGGAATGGAATATTCGGAATAAAAAAAAGTAAAAAGAAGCCAGAATGACATACATTTACAAGGACATCACAGGACGTCCATTGATTAATCAGAGTGGCAAGCCCACGTTTGCGCTTTGAAACTGAAGCCAACGCATCACGCGTCTGATGACTGATTCGATCTGACCAAACCATTAACCATCATTTCGGTTGACGCAAACAAGCTGGGTGTGAAGCATCACAGACTGCACAGCACCGTTCTGAATTTACTAAAAGCCTTGTCTGAGTTGGTTGAGTGTGATTAAATAAGACAGCATGATTTTTTGCAAGAACGTACAGAGCACTGGTTTAATTTCTGGTATTTTTTCGAACTTTTCTTCCTAATTACAGTTTCCCACTAGAATTTTATATATAAGTAGCAGTGAAGTCCCCGCAGCAAGCTTCACGCACACGCACAGTTTGATCAACTCCAGAAAAATGAAATCCTCAAGGTGGACCAGATGTTGTCTCTTGAAGACAGTTCATATGCTGAAGCCAGCTGAAACTCAAGAATTCGTTCGGAATTTGTGATTGACTGATACCCAGACGACAGGGGATCAAAAAACAGATCACACAGACACGTTGACTCCAGCCTCAAAATGCCTCAGAATGTGGGCATGTCCTCTTCCCTGATCAAAGGACTCCTGTAACGTCCTTGTGAGGGTAGCTGCCAGTCAAGTTTCCTTTTCCTGCTTTTTGTTACTTTGACCAGTTGGCTTTTGAAGTGGGCTACACGCAGCGGTATAAAATTAGAGCGTATATATATATATATATATCATTGTAGTTTCACCAAACTAAATGTCACACAAAGCCTGAAGTCTTTTTGATTTCATTTACATCAAGTTCGGTGCAGATATTCTCACACTTTTCTCATGATTAAAACTCACAAAATTTGTCACAGTAGATCAATAAGTCTTTGATAGTCTTGGGTAGGAAGTATTGCAGAATCCTCAAAGATCATCACATACAGCTGCAGAGTTTCTGGTCCTGGCGAGTACGTCTGATTCAAAGGTTCAACTTATCACCACATGCTTAAAAAACGGTCCCCAATGGAAACGTCAGTGGCTTTTGGTTTCTCTATTGGGTTGAGTTGACTGCTCCTTTGTTTTGAAAATATCGGTGTTCTGCTAACCGATGCTTACTCGTTGTGGAACTATTAAGTAGGTTCATCCGATTTTGCGTAAGAAAAATGAACTTAGACTTGAAAAAAGTCCCAAAACATTTTTGCCAGCTTGTATTTTCTGATCCCCCACACTCGAAAGCATAAGAATGAAAGGAAATGGCCTTGAATTATGAAAAGCATTCCGACTGCAGCAGTCGCCTATGTCAACTGCCTTCCTGCCTCAGTTTCTAATCCAGGCATCTGCAACGGCACGTATAATTTTTCTGTCCACCAAATAAGCAAGGTTTCGCATGCTACCTTCAGAGCCGAATCGAACCTTGTATTTCAAAAGTAGTAAATGTGATCTTGAACCGTCATTAGTTGAACCCGAGAGTAAACCGCCTATCTTGACAGGAGTCATCCAGGAGACCACTAGCGTTTTGCGTCTTATGGCACGCAATATATCCTTTCAGGACCGGTTTCGCCCTTCTTGGGGCTCATCAGGTAGGGGTAGCCTTCGTGTTCTACTGGAAAACAAGTTGCACGAAATTAGCGAATATACACTCATTTGCAGACTAATTTGTTTTTTCGAGAGACTCACATGAAACCTAACTGAATCTCCTGTTTGTGATGTTTCCAGGCAACTGAGGCGGCCTGGTGCAGCACATTCAGTGGCCTAGAAACATCACAAACGGGAGATTTAGCTGGGTTCCAGGTGAGTCTCTCGAAAAACCAAATTAGTTTGCAAATGAGTGTAATTCGCTAATCCTTCCAGGAGTTCTAAGCACACCGAATCAAAGCTGACCGTCAGTTCAGATGACTTGAATATGTTGAGAGTCCGAATGCTTCCGGTTCAGCGGGTGCAGTGTAACGTTTCTCACACCACTGAATGTCACAGGTTTCGGGTGAATCACACATCTCCAAGCTGTTGGCATTCACCAATGGCACCGACATATTTTATTAGCGGCGAGTTTATCAACAAGTTGGATAGTTGGGAACGAGGTGTCAGTCATGAGATATTGTCTACTCTTTCGGGGGGCATCTATTAGCTTTGGAATCACGGCTACAGCAACCGGTGATGACTGATTTTCTTCAGAATCAGGGAATTTCCCGACACTATGATAGCTAAGGCCGTTGAAGTAGGATAGAAACAGATTAATTGTGAATCTTACAATTTTTATGCGTTTTCCATTTTAATACCGTTTTGCTTATACCTCACCTTGTTGAAACGTTTTCGTGCTGTTGTACTGAAATGGAGAGAGCTGTGGTATAGAAATATCAACCGAATCTTCACTTTCATTTGGAATGAAATGCGGAATACGAGACGGTTATTTCCCGAAAGTGTTTGCGTATTTGTCCCATTTCACAGACAGAGCTTGCCACTTCGCATTCGAAAGGTGATAAGTTTGCTTAATCTTCTGGTCCAGCGCTGTTGGTTTTCCTAACTAGCCTTCACTAGCTTCGTAGAATTCACTACGGTAAAATATCTAAGTACCTTATTCTATTTCTTCACCGAAGCCACCTTGTTTTGGGGCACAGCAGTCCGTCCTCATCATGATGCTGGGGTCCACAGACATCCATAACAGAGTTAAAAGTCCGATGAATGCACAATGACGCAGTGGTAGCCATTTTTAAAGATTTTTTTGTTACTGACCCTTACTGAGAAAACCGCACTAGTTACTGGGCCACTCAGAGCCGACACTCATGTAACGCGGCTACTGTTGATGTTTGATGGTACGAAGGACCATTGTGAAGTACAGTTCACCCTGAGTCGTTCTTCTAGCAATCTTTACGGTCAGTGGCACACCACCTTTCCACCTAAATTGAATGACTACAACAACTACTTTCGTTAAAATATTCCACTGACTTGATAAGTGGTTAGTTGTTCGGACGAATGGTCATGTTTAATCCATCTGCCGAATGAGTTACGAATCCATATTCATCATATAGGTCCAGAATCAGGATTGGATAACGAGTACAGTACAGCTGAAATGGACTTGCATTAACAGCCCTACAGTTAACAGACAAAAGCTTTTTGCTCAGTAACTGTGAACTGCGAGGAGTTGGATGTGGGTTTGCTCACAGCTGTTTTACTCATAAAATTTGGAGTGTACTTGCTGTGATTTTCATAACAGTTTTCTTAATTCCCAACGGGCTTAGGTATGACAAGGTTGGTCGGTACAGCCCACGCTGGTATATCACTCACTGAGAACAACAATAATTTACCGTCAAGAAACATGTAGTATAACATCGTTTCGAAGCATAAAGAACACGGAAATTGGCGGTGTTAACCCAGGGGCATAAGGTCTTGCACTGTTAGAAAAGACTATGTCATATGACACAGTTCCTTTAAAAAGAGCATAAGGAGTTAATTTATAGACAAGAATGGATTGTCGATTGCGCTTGTTAGACGAATGATATGAGACCAGTGTGGATGGTAATTCTAGGGTAGGATAACAGCACTAGTATTAGGAGTCGGAATGGAATATCTGAGGTATGCATAGACTAGCAGAAAACCGATACAATGTTTATTGGTTAGTGCCTGTATATCATCATTGCCAAAGCAAGCAAGCTTTGGCTATGAGGCGAGATGGCCCAAATGGTTAGACCACCAATTTACTGACTGGAAGGTCCGTGCTTCGAACCTGCCTCTCGACTTCCCCTGTCTAGGCTTGGGCAACCTGGCAGTATCCCAGCCCTCGTGCAACCATCGGATGGCATGGCAGCTAGGCGCCCAAAGGGTGCTACAGCTGAACGGTTAAAGCAAGCAAGCTCTCTACGCAAGTCCTCAGAGCCACAGAATCCGGAGAATCTCGTGTGGCGTCAATCTGTCGACTTCTCTGAAAGTGGGAGCAAGCTGGTTCCACTCTTTTATAGGTGTTATTTTGATGGTGATTCCAGGTAGAAATCAAGCTGAGGACTCGTGATTTTCAACCAACTAACTATCTGGTTCATTTGAACACAGAAAACTATTAGTTTGGTCGTCTGTACATGTATTGATATGAACGAATAGGGATGCTCGTTTGCTAGATCGACTCACCAAGAAACAACAAATCACACGAGACCGTAGTAGTGACCCGTGGCTTCGCCCCGGGCAGAATGCCTGTAAACGGGCTGATGTACTGAAAATGACAACCCAATCGATGAAACTCGGCTCAAGTTTACAGACCCAGGTACTTTACATGGCTGACTGCAAACAAAATGCGCGGTAACAGACTTATTAACGAATCAGTCACAGCAAATGTACCCGGATCAATGAATTAATCCAGGACACCGAAGTTCGGTCGTAATTTATTCATAAGTGCCTGACGTTGATGGAAATACAAGTGTAGACAACCTGGCTGTAAAAACAGTCTTCGTGTTTTATAGGAAAGATGTTACTGGTCCAAATGTTCACAGTTTTGCTTGTCCATGTTTGCGAAATTCTTACACGAAAGCTGCACGCATCGACAAGCTTACAGAGTTGAGCCCCTTTGGGAAACCTCTAAGCAATAAATGTCTTCATGAGAAACTATTGGTGCTTCGGAAATTTTTGCAGTGGGGTTTTATATAAGAAGCAATAACAAGCGAGAAATATTCTCGATTCATTCGTAAATTATTCAACGACAGTGTTATGGTTTTATTGACCTATATCTTCAGTCAGATGATGAAATAACAGCCACCGGTTTCATCTTGTTTCATTATTGTTATTGACACAATCATAGGGAAAACTAAGAGATAAGGTCAACTAAGTGAACACCTATTGCTTCTTCAGTCAATTTCACTTGTTGTAGATCAAGCTGTTGTTCCAAAGGGCCCGGATCCTGTCTGCTTTGAGTCGGTTCACCCACCGTCTTAACGTGGGTAAGACAAGCAAGTCCCAACAGATGACTAGTCCTTTCACGTGATCCGTTAGATGTACCGTCGATTTGTGTCACGTTGGAGAATCGCATTTTAGACCTTGGACTATCACAACTACCGATGCCACGTCAGCAGCCGTCTCGGTTTGCTCAGGCCTGAGGGACATTGGCGAGTCCGGACAGCTAGCATAGTTGCTAGACCTCTCGCAGCCCGGTACCTGCACGCGCTGGTGCCTTCAGATCAAAGTTACTGTTCTCGCCTGGTCTCACATACTAATTGTCGATGCCTGGTCATGGTGAACCATCAGGAGGGTAAGCGAGCTTCTCTCGCTACCCGTGCCTCTGAAGTGCGAACTTAGGACAAGGCTGGTCGAAGGCTGTGGCAAGTAAGCTGCAACCAGCCTTTTGTAAATCAGCCAATCATCCTCACCCTGGCTTTGTAAATAGCACAGCAAGTCCTCCAGGGCCCAGGTAGGAACTGCGTGATATAGAGGTGAACTTATTGAGATGAAACTCGTGTGTAAAACTAGATTTTGCACAACACGAGTACCAGTTTCTGGGGAAAAAACCTATCAGTTACAGGAAGTTACAGCTGAAGCAACGCATCTCCAAGAGCAATTTGGGCATTGTGGGCACTGCGATCAGCAGGCGTCATAACAGGTTGCAAAGCAAGGTATGAATGTTTAACATTATGATGGTCCCATTAGGATTCCTCGGGGACGCATAGCTTAAGAAGTCACGTCGATGACTGTTCGAAATTCTAACCACACAAACGTTATTGCAGCCAGCGGCCATAGGCTCAGGAGTTGACACCGAAAAGAAGTTGGAACACAACACGACAGAATTTTACTTGGCATCTCTCAGACTCGAAAAAAAGACCAAGCACAGTTGCTGAGTTTACGGCACCTTCTCTGTTTAGGTGCTGCAGACTACGAGCTTTGAGTGATTCTGAAGCTGCTGCAGCAGGTTGCGCCGGTGTTTGTTAGATCTTAAGTTCTCGAGCCAAAGCTTCACTGCTCTGATGGTTGTCTATAAAAGGCCACCACTTTACTGTCAGCTTTCTGATTCGACAGAAAATCGCACGGGTTGAAATACTATACGCTTTTCGTTTATTTATGAACCAACGGATTGTTGCTCCGACCTCTACAGAGAATTGACCACTCTCTGGTTCTTCAAGAAGAGCTCGGATGTTGTCATAATAGCTGGAAATTTCAATGCACAGGTGGGACACCTCGGTCGATTGAAAGAATGCCTCGGTGGTGCTTTCAGATTGAACTCAAAAGGCAACAAGAGCGGTGAACGTCTTTTGATCACTAGCTGTTCTTCAATTGTACGGGATTTAGACGCAAGGAGCACCGTTGTTTTATCTGACATCGCTCACCCCCGAGCAGTCCTGGAGTCGAACTGACCACATCACCATCAACTACCGTTGGCTGGTACAATCGATCTGGAACAAATAAGTCGATTCAGATCACTCTCTCGTTCTGCGCGGGTGTTCACTAAACGTACTCGGTAAACTCTAGAAACGAGCTCCCCACATAGCAGTAAGAAAATTTTGCGAGCAATAAGAGAGGGAGACGTACCAGAGCCCACTGTGCAACGAATTACGAGCGACCTTCACACAACTGGGTTGGGATGATCACAGCTACACATGATACCGGGAACTCTGCTCGCAGTGCTTCCGAGTGTGAACACGGATGCCACTGAATCCCAAAACGCTCATTTTCACTTCTTGATGCGAGGCAATCTATCCCTCCTGGTTTTCAGTACAATTAGCCAGATTGTTGAATCCCAAAACGCTCATTTTCACTTCTTGATGCGAGGCAATCTATCCCTCCTGGTTTTCAGTACAATTAAGCCAGATTGTCGACTGGACGAGAGCTCAAAAGTGGACCGGACACTCGGGGACCGCACCTGGCTGTTGAGCCCCAAGGAGTGCGAAACCGGTCGTGGGCTGCCGAAGAACTTTCAACAACCTTATGAGCGGTGTATTACGTCTAAGACCAATACAACCTCGAAGGCACGTAAAACGCTTTACAGCTTCGAGTGCCCCAATCTGGGTTGTGAATGGTGTGTGCAGTGATTGCATGTTTAGGATAATGACATTACACTGTGAGTGCAAAGCACATGCCAAAGGAAGGGATAACTTTGGTCAGCTCATCCAAAAGCCCCTGCATCGAAGATGAGAGCGATGTTGTCTGTATATTCCAGATCAATGGGACTTTTGTCAGCAGTTATATGAACGCTAGGGTTTGGAACACCTTCCAGTGTTTGTATCATTATCTTGCAGATCACCAGATTAAATAAGAATGGAGAGATTGGGCTTTGTGTACGGAAGCTTTTGAAGAGTCCTCCATGTAGTCTCACACGCTTGGAAGTCTGAGAATACAAACAACGTTATATGTTCACAAACTGCCGGGTCATTCTTTGCTGAGGGAGCATGTTAAAAAGAAGAGACCGGTCAGCCCAGTAGAATACGCACTGGATCAATCGTACGTATGACGTTGTTCTGACACCCGAAGGAGTGTGAAAATTTGGTAAAAGCAACCTCTCTTTGGCCGGAATCTCTCTTACTGTTCTCGATTCTGTTTCACCAGCCACCATATGGCAACGAAGGAAGAGTGGCGCCAAGAGTGCCGTTACGACCAGGGTCAGGCTGATCACCTGCGCTTACCGGAATCACTACGAGATCCGTTTTGAAAGCAGGCACTATCACCAACTCTCGCCATAAGTCTGGGACAGTTTTCTCGACCCAAATGCAGGCAAACAGATCAGACAAGCGCTGGATGAGGACTTCGCCCTCACATCCGAACAAGGCTGGTTGGATGTCCTCTTTACCGGGAACCCGGTGGCGTTTGAGGAGCCGTACGCAGTCATAAAACTCCCGAGGCCATAGGGGTTTCCAGGCTTCAGCATCAGCTGCGAGCTCCAGATTACTGACAGCGGATCGCTACGAGAATTACTGTTCGAATTATTCGAGGCATGCTTCTTTATTCAAGATGATCACGACGTTTCGGTCCTTGATTGTTACGCTCACAGGTGGTTAGCAAGGCCGGTCGCATGGATCAAATGAAATTACCTTAGGGTATTCCCGCTTTCCTGGGCTTCTTCCATTTCCTTAGCCTTTCGAGTAAACCAGGCTTTCCGGTCAGCACGTACGCTCGCTGTCACTGGACTTTTGATCCTATATCGGGCCAAATTACGTTCAGGACCGGCGAAGACATTTCTTCGGGATTCAAGAAGTGCTACAATCCTGTCTGATATCCATTGTTGAGTGGATCTGATAGCGCCAAGCAAGATAGCGCCTCCAAGCACTGTGCAAAGAGTTGGCGATCTCGTTCCAGCAAGGGTTCAGATCTAATAGTAGAGCAGTTGGAAGAGACTCCGGAAGACGATTCTGGTAGATTCGTATAACATCCGGATCTGTCAGTCTCACGGTTGCTAAGTGACTTGTTCGCGAAAGGGGAAGCGACTCCGGATGAGCTCGTAGTCGAGATCCACAAATGTGTTTCAAAACGAACTGCACTTACTTATTGATCCATGCCATCGGCAACTGATGGCGATGTGATCAATTTGAGTTGGAGAACACCATGTGGTCAGAAAACTTCGACAATTTCGGAAGTTAGTACAGTACGAAGAGTCTGAAGTCAGCACATAGGTCAAGAGGTCGTTGGCTAGTGGCTGTATGTACCAAGTCCAATCCATGTCGATCAAACAAGCCTGCCCACCTGTGCGTTCAGATCACAGGCAACCACGATGCCTGAGCCTTTAGCTCGCCATAAAAGGGCATTCAAGGCGTCATAAAACTTGTCTTCTATTATATCAGAGACCGCAAGGCAGCGGTATTTGGCGGAAAATGTAAGTGTACTGCCACACATGTTCCAGCCCCCAACCTGGAGGGCCAGGAGACTGTATTCGTCAGACCTCTAACCATTGGCCAAACCGGCACTCTGAGTACCGCAAGAACACTGTCCAGTATAAATCCGTGGGCCACGGAGGCACACAAATCGTCAAACAGCGGTAACACTCCTTCCCCTAGTGACGGTTGACTAGGTTCCCTGTTCGTGTTTGGGAACATGAACGTGTTCCAGAGAATCGTGACTAATTGTTGGTCGGAACGACTGTGCCAAACAAAGGGGTATGTCTCACGTCTGTCATACACACGGTCACTAGCTTCCTTCCCATTAAGAGGTCTATCCCCAGCATGCGAGACGCAAGCCCAAGAATACGAAGTGGGAGTTCGACCTCGAAAAGAGTGCATTGATCACGTCTTTACATCACATCAGGTGCTTGAGCAGCGCCACGTATACCGCTGACGAACAATCGCAGTCTTCCTCGACCTTGAGAGTACTCGACCCGAAATATTCTTGGTTGTCTCTGAAGTCCGTCCTTTGCATGTATTTTCATGTCTCGGGTCTGGTTAAAGTATACAATAAACTGTTTAAAAACATCCTCACAACCAGTGGAGTTCGACAGGGTTGTTTTCTTTTCCATTTTTTCACTTTCATCATCGGTATTACGATGGTGTACACTCCAAAGGATCACGAATCTAGGTACCGAAGTCACGCCCGAAGAGAACCTGTGTATGAACAATGCGGACAAAATCACTCTGTTGTTTGGCCATTACTTGTCAGCACAAAGTACTCCAAACGGAACACCGGATGTAGTCCAATCTTTCGGCATGCGCTTTGCATCTTGAAACTGCGAAACGTTATTTCAAGATTTCCTTTCGTCTTAGTTCTCTGAAACTTCGGAATGAAGAGCTTGAGTTTGTTGACCAACCTACGCGTCCTGGTAGCCGCATAAGCTGTTACCGCAGGAGGCTCAGTCAACGTTCGCCAACGTTTCGTTTATTTATAGCGTTGGAAACGACCCGAGATCCACACGGTCCTCTTTGCAGGCGACTTGCAACCCCGACAGAAATGACACGTAGCCGATCCCACTGGCGCGCATGCCGTAATTGCCTATCCGGACTGCCTAGCTATCCTTGTGCACTGGGCTTATGTCCGATGATGTTCGTAAATGACGGCGGGTCACTCTCACTAAGGCCGTTTTTATCATTGTACTCAAATATATCGAAGCGCGTACGCACGGGTGTCGGAATCCGGTTCAGAATTTCCCCTCGCATCCTGGCCACTGTTCTTATGTCCAAAGGAACAGATCACACTAGCTCAGTAACAGCACAAAGACGCGAGTATCCACCTCCTCGAACTCAGGTGGTGGGTGCTCTGAGACAGGAATGGGGAAGAGTGGATCAGACGTAATTCAAACAGATCAAAAACACAGAGGATGACTTGAGATGTAATGCCGTGATAACCGTAACTAATCCGTATACTACCCAAGACAACTTGCATATTTCTCCTACCCAACACCACTAACCTTCAGCAGCTCAATATCATAATAATTCAGTCAAATTGAAATGTGGGAAGATCCGTTTGACCCTATCGTTGATCATTATTTTGAAAGTACGAAAATCTTTCGCCGCAACAGATTTCACTTTTGGTAGGAACAAGTAAACTCGCTAACCGTTTCGGAGGTTTGGTAAAAAATCAGTCTCAAACATTTTCCAGTTGGTTGTAAACTTGTTACTTTTTGGCACATACGACTTCCCAGAGTAAACCCTGCAAACGGAAACTGCTTCCATGTAAGAAACTGCTATGGTTAGCAGCGAAACTAGTGCTAATGAAAAGAAGCTATGCGCCTCAACCCAGGAACAATGGTTATAAGAAAGTCGACACGAAATATCCGTGTTCTATCTGATGAAGGCCTCATCTATCGAATGTTTGACCGGTAAATGCTAAACAGCAAATAGATTAAAATGATTGGTGTTTCACTGGGCACATTTTCGTGAGAAAGAAAACCCTGGAGGACAGAGCAGTAATTCGCAGCTGTATAAGAAAAAACCAACCCAAATTTCCCGGAAACACAATGCTGCGTTGTGAATACAAGTATAATGGTGATTCGAGCTCGACTCGGATGGAAATGAAACAAAACGCGATCTGAACCAACAGCAGCGAATGGGGATGACGCAGGCATTCTGAATATACATGGTTATATGTGCGTGTTCATCGGGGGAGGAGAGTAGATTGGAAACACAAAATGGTTGAGTAAATAGTCAAAAAGGATGGTTGGTGGGTTGCCACGAATCGATAGGATTCAACCACCTCGTGGACGGAAATCACAGATACCACCGTACTGTCGTAGGAGCCTCGCTACTGTTTATTGGACACAACCCAGACTGAAACAGATTGCGCAGAAGTTCGAAGAAATGTGAGGCGGATTGAATTACAGATCAAAGTAACGTTTTTTTAACGGGCGAAGTGCGATCGATGAAAAACGTTCTGTGGAAGTTGAACCAATGGTTATTCACGGTAAGACGTGTGCAAATTACGCCATGATCATCATCATTCGCTGTGTAACATCCGTGACTGGTAAGCAAATGCCAAGAACCCTTGCAATTGCAGAACGCTGGTCCAAAGAAAGACACATCAGCCTACCTAGAGTACATAACCACCCAGCATCCGTTGGGTCACGGTCGCACAGATCTTGGGATTTTAAAGGGAGGCGAAGGTTAGACTTGTGTGGCACAAACGAATGATTTTCTACTTTGATGCTAAACCTACCATTCTGTGGAGGACGCTTCTGAAGGACTGCAGTTCGAATGTACTGGTGGAGCCGTTTTGGCCCTACAGTTGGTTCGATAAGGATGCTAGGCGACAGTCAGGTTTTCCACATTAGTCGTCAAACTTGCCGCACAAATTGATAGTCATTGCACTGAGAGTTGCGTATAGTCCTGAAAGAGCTAAGCCTATGAATGTCTCTTTACTTTCGGTCCAGCAAATGAGAGGAGTGATAATACAAGAATTTGGCGGGTGGAAGCTCGCCACTAAGTGGATTTTGCGAGTCAGCTAGTCTTACAGTCTGTAGCACCAACTAACGGAAACTGCGAAAGATGAGCAAGCGTCAGATAATATATGCAATTTTTATATCACCGAACGCAGCATAGCCTCTTCGGAAGGACAAGGAAAATCCTACTACTACGGTCACGTCCTTCCGGTACATTCATTTTTTCCACAAGATACTGCATTTGTTTTAAAAAGTTTGTCACCGTGGGTCGAATGCTCAGCATAAACTACGGCGTGGTGACCGAGGCCTCATCCCAACTAACGGTATTCATTCAGCTGGATTGTGGAAAGTTCGTAACGATTCAGACAGTAGAGATAAAAGTGCCTCCGACCTTCAGTTCATCACACTAAGGAGTACCAGATCAATAATAGTCGGCATGTGAGTATTCAACGCTAAAGTATGTACTGGATCACAAGATTAACAAAACAAGCAACGTGTTGATGCAAGTCTTTTTTCAGAATCACATCGACAGTGGCGTGGGTTTACAATAGAGGCGTCATACTAGGACGGACAACTAAAAAGCAAAGGACAGTAACTAGACTCACTTAACAAACTATTCTCCCCGCCCGAACTAATTGCTTTCTCTATGTCAGGACTTTAAAATGGTTGGTTGGCTTGCTACCATATATGTGTTACCTCGTGGTCCAAACTGGAACGACTGAAACTGCACAACCAAGCTGTTTTGGAGACATGAGCACTCGATAACCTGTTTTCACTGTAGCCATCTCTAATGAATGCGAACAGCGTCACTAACAAATCGTATCCAGAGAAATCCTTTCAACCTAACGCGGCAGTCTGTAAGTGTCGGACACTGTACGGCAGGCACCAGTCGGCCAAGGTCACAAGGCGAAAGTACATTTTGGTTCCAGACCAGGACGGCTTTACAGGTAACAAGCTTGAACCCTGGCCTGATTAGCATGGTGCATATTAGATCATTTAAGAGGAGCTTTGAATGATGGGAAAATTTGTTTCACTGCCACTAAGCAGTCAAGTATTCCAATAAACTCTTGGTATGGCCGGAAACAAGAAATCATTCCGATTCATGCGACGCTGCGTTGCGGTCAACGATGACTAAGTCTGCATACCAACCTGATGAATCTAAATTAGAACGGGATACCAGTGGATCACTTTTCAGGGCTAACAGTTTCCAGTCTTATAACGATACAACTAAGCTCAGTAGCAACGTGCGTAAGGATCACCAAATCTATGCTTCCATATTGTACGCAGTTAGCTAACAGGTCATATCTTCGTTTGTTAGCAAAAAACCCACTGGACAAAGCAATCCGCTAATTGGCGAGGTGAACTGCACCATGTGGTCACAGTAACCGTACTGTCGTAAGGGAAGACTGACCGGTGCATTAGAGCATAATGTGCGGGACATTATTGCGGCAGATCGTTTTTCCACCACTTAATCATGCGCTGAACGCGTATTCTCGTCAGCAACAAGGCAAACTGCTTCTTCCCGTGGTGAACTCTTTTAGCTGGGGGTAATTAAGATCCACGAATAAACCCTCATGTCGATAAGGTGAAAACTATGACTCCAAAGGATCGAATACTCCGCTGGATTTGAAAACTGGCTGCGGGTATGTGTTGGGGACTGCACAAGATCAGTAGGCTAATCGAATTACAGGGTTTGCACCTAAGGTTCAACACAAACTAAAATGGTTAGAAGGGAGTCATGAGCGAAGCAAATGACTGGAAGGAAATGTCGAATATATTGTGCGTTTAGGCTCCGCCAGTAAGGCCTTTGGAGTGAACACCTGATTCAGGGTTCAGTGAAAACCAACGCCAACCAATGCGGCTGAATTTTAGGTCGAACAGCAACGGATACATACGCGCGGTGCACAGAATGCAACTCTTAATAAAAGATTAGTGTTCGGATGCGTGTCGTGACATTCGATAGTTTTCTGTATATAGTTCACGATACACTCAAGATATCACAGTATGGTGGGACTGATCTCTAATTTCGTTCACGTTTGTGCGTTCTTTTCTGACTCAGACTATACCTTCTCGTGTGCCGCGTTTGTTACGCACAGGACAAAATAACCTCCTCAAAATGGACCTGATTCACAGAACCAAGGAAGTCAACCTATTCCCCTGTGCCATGCACAAGCCAATAACTTCGCTTCTTGCTTTTGTCTACCGTCTCGTGTAAATCATCTATGTGAACAGTGAATGAGATGCGCAGCAGATGCAGGACTTACCGACAATCACAACAATGAGAGCCACAACAACCATGGCCAGGATCGCCCACATCTGTAAGCAAAGATAGTAGCACGTGAAATGGTGGTTCCGTAACTAGCTAAAACTAAGCGAAAAGTGGTTAGACAATGGGATGTACAAAAAATAAAATACATCAGAAGACCACGGAGTGATCTCCTTCCCGAGGCAAGTTTTGCAATCCAGTTGTTCCCATTGCAGCAACACTTGAGGAATCTCCATACCCCATTCGGAACCGAAAGAGGGACAAGTTACAGTGGCACACATGCCTCCTGGTCAGCGCAAAGAAACTTCACAACAGAAATGCTCGCGGCCATTGGTATAGGTTTACTCATGTGAAAAAGACCTATGTCAACAGAAAGGCTGTTATAATGTACGTGACAACAGCAGACTTAGCTGGATGTAGCCTAGCCTAGGAATAAAGAAATTTGACAGTCAACGCAGTTAAAACGTGCGTGATTGTAAATCTTTCTTGTATCGACAGAATTGAATGATGCAGCATTATTCCATCGACCCATCTCCAAAGAGGAACAGCCCTTTGGGTGGACAAAGTTCAATCACGGGGCTATTTCCAATCAACACCTTCAATGAAACGATATCTCTTGAAACCGGACAAAATGCATTTTCTGGTTTCCTAAATGGTTGATCTGCTTCCCTGTCCCCTACAAGAAAATAGTTCAGCAGCCTAGCTATTCCTAATTCTCAACCACCTGAAAACGTGCGACCATGATTGGACATAGACAGGCCCTTATCCATATACGTAGACTTAGTCGACTGTTCGGAGTGAAATACGCCACTAATAAAAGTAGGTAGTATGATGAAACAACGAATGATAACTCTATACTTATTACGTTCATGGCCATGGCTTTTTAATACAACTATCCCCTTCTAGCGAGATGGTTCTAGTGGTTAGAGCGCGAATTTACTAACCGGAAGGTCCATGTTTCGAACCCAACCTCCGCCTCTCGACTTCCCCTGTCTAGGATTGGGAAACCTGGCAATATCCCAGTGCTTGTGCTTCCTTCGAGTAGCATGGCAGCCAGGCACCGGAAGGGTGTTGCAGCTGAGCGATTATCCCTTTTTAGCACGACCATCCTCAACATACGTCAACTTCACCTCAAGCAACTACTTTGAATGTGCACATTCAGGTGGTCCCGCAAGTGAAAAATACATCAAATTTCATTATCCCCACACGATCATCCCTTTTTGTGGTTCTTATTCTGGTGGTAGTGATAGGAAAACTATAACCGGCAAGCAGGACCATCGCATTAGTTAGTTCATTAGTGTAAGCCTTTTCATCTGTATCAAGTTCAATAAATCGATTACACCGCACTCAAAAACTACAGGGCTCAGTCATCTTTCTCGGAAAGTGGACAGCACAGCAATTTGAACTAATGCAGCTTAAGTACCTTCAGCCGTGGAAACAGCTAAATTAGGTTGAACTAAATGGGACTGCAAATTATGACGAATCATGTGCGAATATAAGGCGGATTGAAGGTTGTAACGAAGTTTCCGAGAAAAAAAAACAGTCCAACTTATGCAGGAGATTGCAGAATGCAACCAGACTGTGCGACTGACTGGGTCCCTCGTAGCAGTGAAAATCACGTACATTATGGAAACAGCTCGTTTTGTATCGTCTCAGTGAGAAAGCTTTTCGATACTCTGACATACCATGATCAGAGCAAACGGCCTACAACAGTACTTCGTCTGATTGTGAACGTGTGACTAAGTGTAAAGCTATATTCAGGCGAAAGACAAACACGAGTTCATAAGTATGAAACACCGAAATTATATGAATCCTATGTGGTCCAACAATCCAAGTTCTCGAGTACCGGTGAGGCAATCAGAGATTTGAAGCACGGCTTTTGTCGCCCTTGTCATCAACAGTAAATGAAATAGAACGGACTAAGATGACAATGACCCCTACTAAAAAACCACCTTGGTGGTTGTGTACTGATAGGGTAAAACTGTCCTCAAGTCAAAATTCTTAGCCTACCAGTTAACTGTCTGCTCAGTCACTCGATTCTAAGCGCCATGTGTCGCATTTCGAAACATTCCATAAAAAACTATTGACATGGAATGACTCAGTTACAGAGTACAGTGGCTGTTTCACTTTCCACTGAGCCAATCAACTGTTTGAAATACCCGACTGACCTATATACCTGGGTCTTCCAAAGCAGTTGTGCGGCATGGCATTGAACCACGTTGCCTTAGTGAGTGGCTGATGAGCGCCCGGTCACACTGAATAGACATCCTTTATTAAAAAGATTAACTGGACATCAATCGAATGATTTATTCCAGTTTACACAACGTCAAATGCTAGAAACATTAAAGCGTTATAGTTTCGAGGAAGGCATGTGAATCCGACTATGCGCTGGCTCGAGCGTACAACGTAGAAAGTTAAAGTGAATGCACGTCGGTTCACGCTTTTAGGAAATGTCCATAATTTGAGAATTATTAGTCTTGTGGAGCGAAGTGAACAGCTTATAAAAGAATAGAAGTTCGCACAAATAGGGCTGAAGAGAAGCTATGAGAACACATGGAAAACGTACACACCACCTTGATAATGGCATGCAGAGTAACTGATGGTGCTCAGAAACAAAACTAGGACAGTTAAAAATGACGCAGTTCCAGAAATCAGGCCGCGATGATATTGTAGCCATCGTAGTTCTAGGATTCGGGGCGATACATCGTTCCAGATAAGCAGCTCTTAATGTTCATCGGATTACTCATGGAGACAGATAACCTGCACTGCCAGTGGCGACAAAAAGAAAGCGTGGTCGCAGGTATATCACTATTCCTCAGTTAAGGTTGGTAAACTTGACTGGTTGTTATTCTTTCCGTCCGTCAAGAAGACTCAACCTAAGCGGCCAGTTGAACTGCTTCAATCAAGGCGCTATATCTGTTTTATTCGACTATAGTGGTGCCCCAAGAGGAGTGCAACTGAGGAGAGAAAACAACTAAGACCAAATCCTAATAAGTTTAGTCAAAATTTAGACCAGACAGAAGGGGTGTCATACATTTTTTCACAACAATCGCTGAACAAACAGGACTTCCGCATGGCTTCCGGATACAATGTTCAACCAGTGTCCAACGGGTCTAGGGAGCAACAATTTGCTCAGCGAAGATAGAGAAGCGTGCTTGATGGCTCTCCTGGGAAACGCCACCGAAGAGGGTTCATCGCCTCCTCTTGGGAATGGTTCACTGGGGAGAATGATTAGACCCATGACTATCGCTTCCTTCGTTTGGCAGAGTTGCGGGCCCATACTTAGCATGTAGTGGCTAAGGTTTTGTAAATACACAAAGTTCGAGCGGGTGTAGGAGAAACTACGGTCTGTACGGAAACATGGGACACCTATATCACAAGAATCTGCTTGATGAGGGAATACACGATTGGTACATAAACAGGATACGAATTTATGACCGAACAAAACCAACGGAATAGCTACTCCAGCAGTGCGCCCGTAGGCTTGTTACCAACGAAGAGGTTGGAAGATCCCCATACTGGAAGGATCCGATGGCATACAAATAGAATTCCTAATGCGACCCTCCTTGACAAAGGTCAGCCATGGCTGCTTGTTAATATCTCCAAAACGACGTATCAAAAGCCCACGTGATGATGGGGTCACAAAATCACTGTAGCAAGATGGGGAAAACTTTCTCCTGAAAGACTCGAAGGCCACAAGCTACTGGAACTCACTGAAGAAATAGACTTTCCGTTCGGCAATGTATTATAGACAAACCTTACTGTCATGGGACAGTTTTCATTGGCGTATAGTTGAGGGAACGAATGTCTTTCTAGCACATCTACAATAATCTTCCAAGAGAAAATTATCTGAAGAGACCACTTCAATGCGGGTCCATAACAACCGGGAAGTGGTGTGGAACTCTCAAGAAAAAATCACACGTTCATTTTCCATGTACTGATCCATTTTTGAGTCATGGCATAACGGATGCTAGTTCTACGGCGGCACGTGACCAGTTAGATCACAGGAAGCCATGGCATTCGATGTAGAGACTTGAAGAACGACTATCTACGTAGACGTGGGGATTTTGAGACCGGACACGTCTCAGTGCTGCAAAACAGGCAGAGGAAACTTAACAACTCTAGCGCAACCCCGACTATATCAGCTTGGGTCATATGTGTGCACCTACAATCAGTCTTGGGGGGAACCAATCCCACGCCTGATCAACATAAACTTCTGAAATCCTCCATTTTTCAACCAGTATTTGCGTCCCATGTTATTTTATGGAGTTCAATACCATTAACCATATAGTTACTAGGATACTTGATACTGGGCTAATGAGGAACCTGAAACACTGGATGAGACGGTATTAAGCCGAGACCCAAGGAAGCTGACGGATGGCGCTGATATGATGAGCAAGCAACAGTTGCGGCTGACCATTGTTGCGCAACCAGGTTTAGGTCGATCGATGACCCGCAACAGGCTTCAGCATGTTTGGCAGCAGATTTCCCTCGAATCTCCATCAATGTAAACGCTTTGCACTCACTGATGCATTCGGATCAAACAGTCCGTGGTTGTCCAATTATGGGCAGGTGTCTAATGGTTCAACTGTTGACGGGAAAGTCCACATCGGATATCAGTCACTCATATGTGTTCGCTGGTTTGCTTCCCACTTGTCACTTGTAGCGATCGCATCATTGATAGATGTGTAAGATAACGCCTCGTGAAAACAAATAGATAATGAACGACCTCAAAAGTTACCAATCTAAGGCTAATAAGACCTAATCAACTCGTTGCCTGCAACTGAAGACCATCATACACAGCGTGGTGAGTGTGTGAGGCCAACCGACCGACAACACACGCCGGTTCAGTGTTCTTTTATGCAAAGTTGACGGTGCATGCCTCTGCAACTACCAAAGCAAGGTTACACACGGAACTGCACACGCTCAGCATGTCTAAAGCGCAGCATCATATGGTTTGGGACTAAGTTTACGGGATGGTTGAACATATTATGATCCTAAGGCTTACGTGTCGATGAATATAATATTGCTCGCCCGGCACCAATCCTACATAGCAATGAATGTGCTGGCACGCATGTCTTGTGCACGGTGGACCGATATCCATTCACTGACTTGCTTGTCACCACCAGCTGCACCCATTTAAAGAAGGTACAAACATGGAAAGTTTGAACTAAATTGTCTGGGCACCCTAAAACGCGAAGAAATAAGACGGAAGGATTGACAGAAGTCGACCTTCCAAAACGGCCACAGACGGTCCCTAACTGGTAAATCTGGTGGGTGGGGTATGCGAAGGGTCGCGATTCGAACGCTCCAGAATGTCCAGAATTGAGGCCAATAAGTTGCAAGCCTGAGTTGGAACAACCCAACCGTTGGTGACCTTCAAGCAACTCGGCGCAAGCGCCTGTACTGAAGGTTCGTATTAGCCAGGAAAAGATGATGTTCAGAACGCAACCGAAGAATTCGCTCCCCGTTATCCGTACAACGAACACTAACTCGAATCTACTAAACTATGCGTCTTTCGGACTTAATCGTCCAACTCGGGCATCCATATCCCTCACCAGGATGACAATATCCTTCTTCTTGTTGGTCGAAGTAGCCATGATAGATCTTCACAAAATCCATCTTTCTCAGCTGCCGAATTGCATTATCTGGAAACGTGTGCCGAAACGACAAATAGACATCATTTACCATGTCGGTCGGTTTTGATCTTAATTGAATCAACGCAGAGGCGGCTGTTGAATCGGATCCAGTTTACCAAAGCGCTCTCATCCAACAACATCAACAACAAAGCAACACCAACATCAGAGATACTACGAGCCATTGTACCAGGGCCACCGGATACTCGAAGAGTGATATATGAAACGTCTGATGTCGTCCAAAGTGACTTGAGGTGTACGACCGAAGTGGGCTTTTGTATACGCGTTTCCGAGACACGGAATACATCACAGTGAGGGAAAGCAAACTTCCAGGAAGAAATGCCGATTGCTCAGTTCGACATAGACCATGGACCTGCAACTTGGATCAGATCCTTTGAGATTAGTAAAGGCTTCTTTTGGCTTATTTTGTTGGATGTTAGTTCAGAAACAGAACAGTGGTTGGCGGACCGGAAGTTGTTAGTTGCCCTGGCCGAGGGAGGAGTTTTTTTAGGAGCCCCACTTTCAGCCTTTGATTAGTAAGGCAATGGGAGAACGTAGGATTTTATTCCGGTAGGCCGACCGTAACCTTCAACCCAAGAAAGACCCACAAAGCGGGGGGTAGTGAGGTTTTATTGCAGGACATGGTCGGAGCAGGTGACTCAATAGTCTGATCGAATTGACTGTGTAGCACTGGCCTGGCTGGAGGACGCAGGAAGTAAGACATAGATATCTCACTCTTGATGCTACTATGCATAACAAATGCGTTTGGAGACGCTAAGACTCTTGGTGGGCTTCAGTGGTCGCTCGGTGGTCACGGTCAATCGATGGGCGATCCAGGTGTGTAGTGTTTGAGGTTGACATTTTCTAACCCGTCCTTCATGGGGGAAGGCAGTATCGCCGACCTCCTAAATGTGGACATACTGTTAACCTGGAAGAAACAACTCACTGCTCTCACACTTCTAGCAGAGGGGGGAGTGTGACTTTGACTATAAACACCCTTATATTACGGGGTGTCGCTGCTCGTCCACTGCTGGCTTCCATTTGACCTTCCTGGCATCGTTGCACCTTCTGGAATAAAGTCCCAGCCAGTATAAGCCATGGTATCACCGACGTATTCAAGTACGACAACCATGTCAGAGTGGTCAGACTTTGGTTGAGCTTCTAGGGACAAGCCTGAGCGTTCACACCACTCCGCAGAAGTTCATGCTTAGAAGTGACAGTTCGATGTGAGAATGCTTTTAGAGACTGATCACACAGCTCGAAAATTGTCATCAGCATGAGTGTTTCACACAGTAGTTAATTCGACCACGGATTGGTCACGGATTGTGGTGAAACGTGACGTTACGACTGTCTTCAGTGGGCACTTACACCTTAATCGAAAGACTCCGAGCCTACCAAGTAGTAGTAACTTTGCGGTTCGCGATCCCGATGAGAATGATAGAATGGCTAGTGCACCAGAGTCTAGTCGAACAACATACACAGTGATAGCTGAAAGGAGGCCAATTATTACAAGATTTTGAAACAGAGTGGACTGGCGTTGTCAACTTTTGAGGAGAAACAAGAGCTAAAGAGCCAGAAGTTGGTATTGAAAATCATCTTCGAAAGTTGTATCTGCAGCTTGCACTGGAAGCAGCTAAAAGATAGCAAAGCTTGTCTATCCGCTCCACAGATGACCCGTGTACCCATTACTTTGTTTCTGGTTTAAGCCCACCTTGTCAGCTTGTTGCAGAACCGAGGAACTCAAGGAATGAGAGCGTTCCGTAGCGGTAAATCCCCTAAACAACGCTCTCTAACAACTGAACCAGACGAAAATAGTAACTGGAGCTTGGGGTGGCAAGCTTACTTAATGCCCCTGTAAGTCTGATAGTGGTACTTCCTCGGACGACAAGCACTATTGGTCGGCCACGGGTCATACAGTGGCTTATGACAACATCCATTTCAGATACACTGCGCACGTGGATCTAGGACAACGATCCATTAAGACGATACTGTAATGGTAATCAAGCTGGGGGTGATACTGAGTAAAAAATAGCCACACGAGAAGTGTCCTTTCTGGAAGGACTTTTGGTCTGGCGTTTAATGATAAACCAAAGTAGGCAAGTCACTCATGATTAAAAGACAAACCTTCATGTTCTGCCAAAAGTATTTCCTTCTTATTCGGTTGGACACTGCCTCAAACTGTCGTGATTGAACCTGGAGTTCATCTGCAAAAAACGGAATGTGAAAGTTCAGAGGAATAGTGTGAAAGAACAGGGCGAATTTACAACAAAATACCCATTTCATGCAACATCTATGACTACACAGGACACAACAAATAGGCTCTTACCACACATTCATGAAAATAATTAGGCCATTCACCTCGACGCTTGAAAAAGGCCATCGACTAAAAACCAAATATTTAGGAGAGAAATCACAAAGTCAGTGCTGTATGCAACATGTACCTATGAAGATAAACGGGAACCCTTTCAACAGAGCCCCTAGCGTTTGCAAACCCAACTGCTGACGCACAAGCTAACTAATACTGCAACCACAGCCGTTTCCAGTAACTTGACCCCAATTCATACTAAACGACAGAAAGTTTGATAAGAAGTGAATATGAAACTGGGATAAACAAATAGTTTGGTAAAGCTACATAAATTCTCGCAGAAGATTGTTTGAACATTAATTGATTTCCTCTTGAGTAGAATGTTGATAGCTCAGATAGTCATCGGTTTGTTTGCTGACCTAGGCGATTTAATTGCGAGTATTTCAACATCAGTCGAGGCGACATCATCAGAGCATTGTTGGAGAGCGTAGCCGTGTGCGTGGTTGTGCCCAGCAACTGACGCCACCACATCAGCTGCTTTTTACAGGACTCTTCTACCCGCCTACCGTTCTCGACATAAAGGCAATATATACCTTTGGCTATTGCATAAAGCCGAGGAGTTTGGAAAGTGTTAGTGTAACCCTTCTTTCAGGATGAAGTCTGCGTGGTCCTCCCTATGCTTGGCCTGAAATGCTGCAAGATATGGCTGCTGATCTATATCGGTAGTGTTCTTATTGCCAGCTTCTGTTCAGATTGTGTGGATGAGTGCCTGGATATGTAGGCATTATACCCTTTGCCTCTTTTATTATTTTTTCTTCACCAAGCTTCCCAATAAATTAGGCATTGCAGCATCGATTCGTAACACACTAGCTGTGCTGCAGAGTAATGGTTACGCCAGCAGGAAAATCCCCTCGGATATATTATGGTTCGCCGTATCGTATGGACCCATGTGGAATTTTGTAGGAGATCCGGTGGCCAATCGGGAATTGGTCACGATCTGGTGGCAGCATAAATGTAGCTAGGTGCATGTGCGACAGGTATCACACAATACTAAACACCGGTACGCAACGAAGAGGAAGCGATAAATACGAAAAATTCGCTTGAGTGCTCATCCGCTGTCTGTTCACTATAGCCACTTAAGTCCCAATAAACTGCAGATCTGGTGCTGTTAATAATAGCACATATGATGCACTAAGCGCTATTCAAAAACGAAGTAACAGCTGCCTTTATTGTGGTTGCCAGCGGTCGAACCTTAGAGACGAAACTATCTTGAATTGGACCCGAGTTGCGCAACCAATTATGAACCTATGATGCGGCTATATGCTTGTCGTTTCAATTCGAAACCAGCCTCCAGAATAATCAACACCATCTAGCTAATGTTCCTATCAATCAACACGTTAGCCAGAGACTCAACTGATCAATGGTGCAGGGCAATTATTGACTCCACCTAATCCTACTGTCTCTAAACCGGCAATCCTCAGGGCGGTGTTGATTCGGATGGTACACCGCACACCAAGTTTAAACAGCTTTGTGGGAGGGGGTGAACATATGATAGCACTCATATGTTCTTCTGGTAACATTATTACGGGGTTAGTGGGTATGTGGGTACGCTTTTATTACAAGGTTGTTTCGCAGAGGGTCTTTGCACATCCGAGGTTTGCATCATGTTTTGGATAGGTCTAATAGAGCGTCGCTAGATCATTGTGTGGGCATCCAAAGAGAACCCGTCGGATTTCGCGGCGAACACGGGTTTCACATGTGATGCCGGAGGGCCTTCACGGTACGCCAAAACTGTCTTTGATAAAATTGGCAATGTGAAGAGCGATGTACTCTCAGGGTCAATGAACGGAGGACACCAACTTTTCATGTTCAGAATTTGAAACGAGGCACCAGTAGCGACGCATTTAAAGGCGCTGTTTCGATCACGTCACCGAACAGTGGGAGGACTTGAATATCAGTGTTACGTATGTGTGGCGATGGTACTAGGCCACTGGCTGAATATGAACGGTCAGGTCGACAGATGTATGTCACGCATGGCTGAGACGGTCGCCGTTAAACACCACAAACCAACGGTATGTGCGCAAGTCAACTCTGTATCAATGGAATTGTATGACTGTTGGATCGAATTTCGAAGCTCATATTGTAAACTACATTCAGGTGCCATTTCCTCAGTATGCAGAAGATGAAGTAAAATCAGTAAGATTAAGCAGTCTGTCGCTTCTGATGAGACATCAGATTTATGAGTGATAGGGCCCGTTTCTAATCTATTGATTACAGGTTCGCTTGACAGGTTTGTGTATATTTCACTGAGCCACAAGCTCTACGTAGATTGGAATAAGCGAATTCTACACTGGATTAGATATTTCCAGCAGAACATTTTTGGTGGACCCGACTTCTACTAAATGTGGCTGGAAAGCCTAGTTACATTATGATGGATGACTTCAACCTACCAGGAACTGATTAAACACATTACTCCTGTCGACCCAGTTACACCATCATGGAGGCTGCTATGAACAGTAAGATGACACACATCAACAGTGAATCCAAGCACTACAGTGGTCAGTAACACCCGTCCTGCTTTGATTTCACTATGGCACTAATATGGATAAGCGGTGCTGGTCCTACCTTTGATAAGAGCTACCAATCACGCAGCCAGTGATTTACGACCCACTCCAGCTCAGTTTACCGGTTAAAAAGTATGTACGAAAAGTACCCGTCATGTAAAGACTGGACCTCACCATGGTGTGACGGTTTGTGTGCCTCCGCGACGCATTGATATATACAGGCGGGTATCAGTGAGACACTTGCAAAATCCCTTATACCAGGTTGATCAACGGGTAAAAGTCTAGCCAACATAGCCTCTTGGTCCTACATGTTAGGGGTTGGAACACGTAGGGCGATCGGTCTTTAGAAAATGTAATGCTCCGGTATTTCCCGTCACGATTTGAACATGTCATTTGAACACGGTTAGGCATGCGCTTCACATCCGCAAATTGTAAAGTGCTGCTACAAGACTGGGTGGGATCAAACCCACATCTCATGCTTATAGGTGAGCCAATCGGCGTGGTGATAAGTTTGTTTACCTGGGCAGCTGCATAAGTTTTCATGGACTGGTTGGAGATGAGATTATTTATCGAATCGGAAAGACCACGACAGCTTTTGCCAACCTCCGACACCTATGGCGCCGACGTGACGTGAGCTTGTTTTCAAGGGAAGTTTATATTGCTGTTGTGCTATCCATACTGCTTAATGGATCAGAGACGTGGCCCATACGCGCAGAGGACATACGGAAGATGCCAGTGCTCGATCATCGGTGCCTCTGAAGCATTGGTCAGGTCAGGTGGAAACATCGCACTAATGATGCTGAGGTACGCCAGATGGTCATAGGAAGAAGGAACTCTCCCGCGATAGACAATTTACTCACGCTTTATAGGCTGCGCTGGTCAGGACATGTATTCCGCTTGCTACAAGACCATCTCTCTCACACAGTTCTTTTCACCCAGCCCTGTGCTGAGTGGAAATGACCGAAATGACCCTGTATAAGCTAGCAACGAAGTGGAAAAACACTAATCAGTAAACTTAGTCGAGGGGGGCAACTTCCACCTCCCTGGATGGGGACCCCGGGACTCAAATTACCAGTGGTTGACATTGGCGGAAATGGCCCACTCGCACAGTCAGTGGCGCTTGTGCATCAAAGCTATCGCCTTCGGTGCGATTTCCAAACAAACTGAGCATGCCCTCGCCACCAAGACTTGGTTTTGTATTACACTTTCCCGTTTCCCGGTGGTCGAAACTGTGGCAGCTGGAACCGATGTGCCTATGGCACACAGTTTACAGATGATAAATCGATTGATTGAATGAATTCTGTGTTCATCCTAAGCCGCTTGAGGGGCACGACTTAACTGGGGTTTTGTGTACGTGTCTCGGAGACACTGCATACCTCGACAGAAAAGAGAAATAAGGTTTCAGAAACAGTTGACTGTTGCCTAATTTGACACAGACTACAGACATTAAAAGTTGAAAAATAGGTAAGATCTTCTGAGTTTAGTAAAGGATTATCTTGGTTCGTTTTCCTGGGCGATTGTTCAAACACGAAAAAGCAGCTGGAGGACTAGTAGACAGGCTGACTCCTGCAGATTAGTTGATTGACCGGGAGGGGTGTGCGTGAGGGCCAACGGACGAAGACCTGAAAGACTGAATACTCCCTCTGTGTTACCTTAAGCCTCTAACTTAGAAATGTGACCGACAATTCAGTGGATAAGAGGGTTTCGTTGGAGGCGTAAATACCTCATTCCTGACATTACTGCGCATAGCAGATCTCTTTGGTGCCCAAACAGGCTCATATTTTATTCCGCTGTATTGGATAATTCGCCAGCGGCCACGGTCAACCGGTGAGTGACAATAGTATAGTGATTTTGGGGTAGGCATTTTAAAAATTGTCCTTCTTGGAAAGAAGGCGACATCACTGCTCTCATAAATATGGACATGTTGGTCATCTAAAAGGAATACCCTAGTGCCCTTAAACTTACATCGAAGAGGACAGTACGATCCTGCCCCATAGCACCTGGCACTGCCGGTATCCGTAGTACGGGGAATCACTGCTCTTCGTATGATGATTCTGCTTTGGACTTCCTGTCGTGGTTACATTTTGTGTAACAAAGTCCCAGACAATGTAACCTGCCAGATCACCACAGAAATCAAGTACGATCACCACATCAAGGTAGATTGCAGCTTCGCCAGCCAATTCTGTCTAATGTTGTACTTATTCCAGAACACTAGAAAGCTGGTTTTGAAGAGCTGTGACAAGCAGCTGAGGCCTTGGATCGGTCCATTTCGGACGTCCGCGTCCAGATCAGGAATAGGAGGCTACTGTCGCCAATCTACATGTGTTCTACTTTAAACACGCCCCGTTGAGGAAAGTCACAACACCACTATTGAGGTATAAAGAACTGAGGTCGATGTTAACACGAAACTGATGCTAGTTACAAAGTAAATGGGAATCAGAGTAGCGCCCCAAAGAAATTCGTTTAGCACTACGAGGCGTGTTCACTAGTCGCCCTGATACACAGCAAGCAAAGTGTATCCGTACGTCAACCGCAGACTTCGTAAGGTGGATGGTCCGTCCATAGTTACCTCTGGAGATGTATTAAGAATTGGCCGTCTTTGTCTCTTGTTTCACCAGTGTGGGTTTACACATCCGGGGAATGACTAAACGAGCCAGATACAACGCGTGACACACGTTATTTGTTCGGTTGTGCACGAACAATCTCAGACGCCGAACGTTCATAGAGCAGTAGAAGATAGGTTTACGCCTTGGTCCTGAAGGATGTGGCTCCTATAACCGCCGACCCGGTAGCACGCCCGTTTTACCTGCCACTGGACTGCGGAATACCGCAGTGAATGGAAACAAGAGATAACTGGAACACTTCATAAGAAACGAACTAGGATCAATTCAGAAGAGATCGCTCGGTATGTCTAACTGCAGTCTTATCCACGTTGGTCGAGATGATCGTTAGAGGGAAACTGAGTCCTATGTCAAACAGCAAAGCCTCCTTCAACCTGAGTAGAATGAATTAATACAAAGGCATGTGTGCATCACCAGCTTGATTGTCACCCGCGAAGCATGAAAACTGAAATCCTACAGATGTGATCATTTTTGAATAGGTTAATCTCACATGCCTTCTACACTGCTTCCAAAAGCACTGGACCAATTGCCATTTACAGCTGGCGGTAAGCATGAATGAAGCTATCTTCTAGGAGATAGGTACTAACGGTGTACTCGGCTCTCTATAATCCATCTTACATGGCAACGCCACCTCCAGATGGATAATCTTTACCCACGACCTGAAAATATGGGAACTTGAATTTGAAGACAGCGCGGTATAAAATGCTCCCCCAGTAACCCTGTGAAGGTGGTACATCTTAACTGTTCAAGCACGGTCGATAACCAGTACACTCTGGAACCTGAATGTGAGTATTCGATCAAAGGAACAGCAACACAAAGCACACCAGGGATTTCTCTGGATCCTATACATGATCACAGGAAGTTATAAAGAAGTTAAGTATGAACATCATAAACGAGGGATTCAGCCGAGTTCCAGGTGAATCTCCCGTAACAACCAAACTGGTATGCAGATAAGTGTATAAGCTGTAACGATTATCTGGTTCGGCCGAACGAGGGATTCAGCCGAGTTCCAGGTGAATCTCCCGTAACAACCAAACTGGTATGCAGATAAGTGTATAAGCTGTAACGATTATCTTCGTTCGGCCGCCACTAGCGTACGCAACGCCAACAACTTTCCCGTGCACCGACGAACCAGGGCCCTGGAGCACGTTCAGCGTCTGGCAACCAAAATGGCAACCACATTGCGCTACCAGGAATACCTACAGCTTGTGCTCAACTCGCGCTTTTCTTATCAGGCTGGAGCAGGGGCAGAGGCAACCTCATTCGGGTCCACAAGGTACCACTGAGTGTATCCACCTCCGCAACCGAAACAGTGCACTTGGTAATTGCTAAAAACTGTGCGTCGAACGGACCGATGGAATTCCACATGTGCATCCGATGTCACGGCGTTTGATTAGGACTTCGAGGCCAAATCGCTGATAGTTGGTCAAAATACCTCAGAAAGGACGTGAACAACTCTAGGAGCGAATAGATTTATTTGGGTACCCATCTAGGCGATGAGGCCGATACTACATGGAGGGTACTCAAGTGGACTAACCACTGGTCTGCTTCAACTATGACTTGACGTTCAATACGCTGTTTCTTAGGATAAACTCAAGGAGGAACTTACTCCGTACATGAAAAGCCGGACGAATCAGTTAACTCACCAGTCAAGTGGCTGTTGCGGCTGGTTGATGGGGTGGTGCTAGATGAAGACGGGGGTCTAGGATCGAATTCTGCTCATATGACTGTGAAAATGGTGAGTTCCCTAATTCGAATAATGCGCACAATATCTGCAGTGGCAAAAAGTTCAGAACAGGCCTGAGTGATTTATGGTCATACGAGGTAAACGTTTGTGATAGCATGAATAGCTGAAGAACTGATGAGTAGAGACCACTGGGTTGAAAGCAAAGTTTACTTCTACCCAGATCCAAGAAGCAAAAGCTCAACTCCGCGTATCAGACTAACATTCAGCAGAAGTCAGTGGTTAATCACTTCACACGCTCGTGGTACGTCGCTTGATGAATGCTGCTCACTATGCCAAGCCTTTTAGACTTTGTCTTCCAAAATATAGTCGACTTCCACCTACTGACCATTCACAGAACGAGCCGTTCATTAATTCCAAGCTGTCTACTCACGACACAAGGACGTAACTCTCATTGAGCCTGTCCAATGAGCTGCTACGAAAGTGGTTGCCGGTCTTAAATCCGTGGACTATGAACCACATCTTGTGGTGTTTGACCTCTTTCCCATGGAGAATCGTAACCCCCGAGAGCTAATTCTTACTTATGCCTCGCTTGAACAAAGTTTGGTCAACAGGGTTTTCGCCGTTGATCCAGTAAACACACGGCGGAGACGTGGTAAGGTTTTCAAACTCAGAGCAAATACATCCATTGGGAAAATTTTTTATTATTTCGGATAGTTGGTGTGTGGATTAACCTTCCTCCGACGGTTACGCACTCTTCACCTAAAACCTGGTTCAAAGCAATGTGAGAAACTTTGTTATGCGAGTTTTCCCACTGGCAAGCTTACTGCACCATACTGCGAGCTTGAAGAGCGGCGCTACACCGTTTTTCCGCTCGTGCGTTTAGGGTAAACGGCAGCCACTGTACAAAAAACAAAACAAGCCAGGGGAACTTGGGTGAAAGCTTCGATAATGCAGATCAATTCACGAATCCGTGAAGATGGCCCAAGTGGTTGGAGCGCGAATTTACTGACTGGATGGTCCGTGGTTCGAACCCAACCTCTGCCTCTCGCCTCCCCCGTCTAGGCTTGGGCAACCTGGCAGTAAACCAGCCTGATACAACCTTCGGGTGGCATGGTAGCTAGACACCGGACGGGGGTGCTACAACTATGCGTCGCTGAATCCGTGAGAGCGGTCGCACTACGTCTAATCCGCAAAAAACACGCTTTGACTGGCAGTAAACAACATTTATCACAGCATGTGAATGAAAAAGCACAAAACACATACCGGCACGGGAATCTATTTCTGCCAGCTTGGATTCTCGTTCCAACACACGGTTTACGTTGTCCCTCATTATCCCAACAACCTGCGATAACATAAGGCGTTGACTTGTATATACATGCCTACCTCCTGAACTTTAGCGTGCTCATGCTGAATTCGGTCATCTGTAGGTGGTCCATAAGGCCTAACGAAGGATCATCATTACTAAATTCACGTACCTTCCATGAGAGCTGCCTGCATTCGACATCTCGTGGACAGCAACGGGCGCAACGTCGAACCGACCAATGCGTAGGAAACACAGTGCTCTGATTGGTTGAAACCACGGAATCAGGGACTCACGGACTCATGGATTGATATACAGGATCGAGGCTTGTTCTCATGGCTTCATGGTCTGGTTTGTTCTTATCTGTGTTTACCTAGCGGGCAAAAGTGAAAACGGTTTAGCACCAAAATTTGCATCCTCATTGGGGAGCTGTAAACTTACCGGCGCGAGGACCCACATGAAAATGGTTCGAACAGTCGGTGCATGGGGTGGCCCTCCCACCTACAGTTGTCCACGCCCTACCTAGGTCATAATTCTAATCACTCCTGCATACCTTGTTATATGAGTCCCTGTGCTGGCAATCTTACCACCCAGTGGTGAGAACTTCAAGAGAGATTTTCATCCCCTCTTCGATGGTCCCTTTCAGGCAAACGGACCAATCGGTACCCGAGGTGTGTCTTGGAAGCTACTACGTTTTTGGGGCAATCGCTTAAAGGTAATCAGATATAAAAGTATCCATGCTCAATGCTTTTTTCTGCGAGCTCTTCGAATGTCTGTTGTGCTTGCGTGAGCGGTTTTTCAAAGCCAGCAACTGCCTCAAATTTAAAATCAGTGCTTAATGGAGGGTAGCATCCCAGCTAACCGTAAAATGGGAGTCCCTTAAAATGGACCTACTTCGCAGAGCTTCCTGTAACTACAATAAATCATGAAAGTTGCTTGAGCCCACGGTACACTTGTCTCGATAGATCATTCCTCAATTTAAATATGTACGCAGTATCCTCTACCGAGTTGACGGGCGGGAAGACTCTGTCCATGTACATCGAAAAGTGGCGTTCGAAGAAATCATCGTGATAGGACAACTCACTATCTTTTGATAATTCACACAAGATAGAACGAAATACATGCAGCATACAAATTTCCATTAAATAGCACAACGCGTAGATTTTTATATTACCTTAGCCCAGAGGGCGGGTCTTCCGGCAGGCCCTCCGATATCGCCCTTGGAGCATTCTGGTGATGTTTATTGGAAGCAAATACCTCCACGCATATGAAGGTAAGTAGGTGGCGGTAGAATTGGAACAAGTGTGAGGGCTCTCCATTGCCCCGGCATGTTGTAATCTGGCAATCTTTGCTGGATGTGGGGCACATTTCTTGCTGTTTGGAACAGGCTAGTTCATGAGTGTGGAGAACCAATGGGTTCAAGGAAGGCACATTGCTTGCTAGAAGGTATACGTGAAGTAGAAAGTAAAGGTGACTTTCACCTGCAAGTAACTGGGTGTCTGCACAAGAAGCTATAGTTTAGTCAACGTAGATGTGCCAAACGACGTTAGATCCAACGCAGTGGTAGTGCACCCTTGAAGGCCGCGGCCACAAGTCACTCATGGATTCACGCAGTGATACACAGGATCAGGGCTTCCGCCCATAATACCCGGATCGGGTCTGCTCTTGTTATCCACTAGCTTCCGATCACCTAAGAGGCACAAGCCAAAAGTGCAGCACTCTTCCTCAAGTTGTCAGTGCAAAGCAGTAAGCCCATCAGCATATAAGGGAGCGTCTGAGAGTGTTTTGAGCTAGATGCAGCCTAAACGACCGTTTTAGGAAGGCTATTCCAGACATCAGTCATCGGAAATGTAAAATTGTTGACTAATAGAGGTGCGCGCTCCGAGCTCGCTAAACTTATTACCATATATCCGCCGTGCGTTAGTTTTGTCAGCCGTGAAAAACCTGTTGGTCTATGTTAGTATTTAGTCTTCTCGGAGACAACGGTATTCGAAAGGAAAGTGGTCAAGCACCGCAAGACACGTTTTATAGTCCACGGATTCAGGGCTGCCAGCCACTTCCGTAGCAGCTAGTTGGACGAGCTGAACGAGAGTCACGTCCTTCTTGCCTCCTGACTAGACTACCTGTTGGTATGTTCAACAAGCGGTCTGACGGGGGCCCCATAGTTTGCTCGTAAGTCCATGCGAGTAATACGGGTGAAAATGCACCGAATAATCCCTAGAATGGCAAATACCTTCTGAGGCGGTTCCAAATAGCGCAGTTGAATGACATGTTTAAAGATAACCGGGAACCCAAATCCTTTTGGACATCTACCCATGTGATGTCTTCCGGTCCATTCTCACCACACATAACAAAGGCGTTTGCTGAGTCCCTCCGAATGACATAAGGACGCACTTTTCGTCATTCACAGGTAGGTGCCAGTTCAGCGACCACTGCTTAGAAGGGTCTATACCCTTTTGGAGGGAACTGGCATTCGTACCCTAGGGTTTCAAGTCGTCCGCGAAAAGTAAACATGTACGTGTGCCTTGGCATGTTTGGGTGTGACAAGTTCCCGTGCAGAAAGCATGCTGTGTATTATTCCCCGCAAACCTCAGATACCACAATCGGGTCACTCGTGGGTTCCCCGTTTCCGTCTCTCAAGGGGAGGGTGGTTGGATTATTTATCTTGCGGTGTCCTATGTACGTAAGCGGCAAGAGCGAAGTCTAGTATCGTGACTTGTTTTCGTGTGTTGGATTGACGGGTTTTTGATTTACAGCGGTTCTGCATTTTACGACATGCCTTGAAACGAGTTAAAACACATGTTGTCATTTGACGGGCAACCTTAGAACGTGGGTATCGTCCTCCAGGATTTTCCTTCCGTATAAGTTGTACGACATGTGCATATCATATTCCCGTATGAGCTACTCAGTGCGCCGGAAACCTTTTGTGTGGCTTGTTTAAGTGTGTATGAGCAGTGCATCTACTTTTTCAGGCGACCAGTGTCGTTCTTCAGAGAGTTGTTGATCACACTAAAAATGGACCATGGATTGTGCATGCACAGCGCACCCGCGGGTGACGTACGACTATTTAGCCGTGAGATGGGAGGTTTATTTTAGTCGGTGCGGCACAAGACGCGACCACAGGTGCTGTCGGAATCTGTGTGCTAGAATAATGGTTAACAGAAAACCAGCTGCAAGGCATTGTCTGGGCAAGCCACGAGGCGAAAAGTGTTCACAGGGGCAAAGCCATGCATGTGCCCCTTCGGTTGCCAGTGGATTTACCGGAACCGGATTGTAAAAAATTTGATCAGATTGTGATCGTATTCAATATGCTAAGAGAAGACCAAGAGATTGTTCCCGTGTCTCCTTGGGCAAAAAAGTGCTGGTCGGCCGGCAATTCTCGTACTGTTTTTTAGTATCAGTGTTCAACTTACTAGCTTCTTCGAATTCTCCAACTTTCCTTTGGTCTTGCTGGCCTCCTGCTGCCTTCGTAGTACCGCGCCTGCAGCGCAAGATAGCTTTGATTCTTCGATTATTCGCGGCACGCACAAACAAACGTGTCATCCTCCAAGTATTCATTTAACGCCTTCTCAAATGTAGCACTTTCACGTTGAATTTTCAACTCTAACAACAAAGGTTTGAAGAGAAGAGCATCTGCTAGCCAAGGTTCAGGGACTTCTTGGGTCAACGGATTTGTGATCCACCTCGCCGTTTTGTGTTGTTTTTTTCAGTTGTGGTCGTTGCTTGTGTTACAGCTATGCTGAATAGTGTCTCGGGCTCTGGAGAATTCATCGGCTTCGACGCAAATTAGTTAAGGTTTCGCGTTCACACAGCATTTTGTGCCGTGATGCACTCAATTACTTTCCGGGCATCTTAGGGCAGTAAGAACAATCAGGAAGGGATATCCTTTTTTGCTGCGGCCGTGAAGTTCTGCCGCTGATCCCGCAGCTATTGGAAAGACATGCGTAAGGGGTATCGCACTCAGTTACTTTTCAGTGAACTCTCCACGGCCGCAGAAGGATTGACAGTGAGTCGCGTGTAAACGGGGTGTTAAAAATCAACCGACGTCGGAAGCACAAGTGGGATGATCTTAGCAGTGAATAGCTCGGCGGCATGGGCGCATAATGACAGTGGCAGAGACCCGGTAATCAGAAAGACTGTCAAACTCAAAAGATGGGCGATACATAGACGTGTTCACATGGGAACAGACTGTAGAGGATGATATTCTCGTATCAGTGACAAATTAGCGACCAAACATGTTCTGTAGGTATTATGGAGCCATATGCCGGTAAATGCGTTTTGCTAGGCTGTCGATTCTGACCACGGGTTTGGGTTTGGAAATATAGAGTGGATAGAAAAAGACTGGTGGCAGTTGTAAGATAGACCAGTTGGTGTGAGGACCAAATGAACCATAGTTGATATTAAAAGGAGGTCCACATACACCTAGTGAGAGTACGGATATAAGTGGACAGAGAATGGACTGTATGGAAACTAAATGCTTCGTGCCGTACGACCTCAATCAACGCAACTTTCAGTGGTCTGTCTGTATTCGACAGACTCGAAGATCCACCCCCACGAGAAGAGAACATGCCCAATTTTATGCCTCACTTGAGCCCGTTGACTCCTTATATCCTCCAACAGCCCAACAGGGACGGACGTTTTGAATCCCGCTAGCTAAGCTCCCACCCTCATCAGTGAATTTAGGTCGCATTCCCGGCTTCACACCGATTTGTCTTCACAGCCGCCCGACCTAAGCCTACACAAATTCCTAGTTTCTAGCCTGACGATGCCCTTACCTGTCTGCACAACTGACAGATGGATTAAACCATCGGAACTTGCTAATTTGGTCTCCACCTAATCTAAGCGTCAACAACGGGGATCACCTGCGCAGCACAAAGCCTGCAGCCTTCAGCGATGCGTTTGCACGAAACTATTCACGACAAAGTTGTGGTATTCACAAAGGCTCCCTTAAAACCAAACTGACAGAAAACCAAATGGAACTCCATAGGGTTGCCCCCACGCATGCTCCTGTGTTCCAGGAAATACAACGTTGTGCACGTTTCGATGAGTCTCTCTGAGTTTCCCTGCCGCGTGACATCCAACCCAGATGAGTTCTGATGGACTACGACTGCTTTTGTTCCCCAGGTTTCGGATCCGGCACTCACTGGGCTTTCGGTAGATTTTCACTAGCCAGTGGTTCCACTAGTCGAAATACCACTCCATCGGACTGCATCTTTTTCCGAAACATGCACGGAGTACCTCGGGACACATAGCGTCCTTTCATTATCTACCTACTCAACTTTGTGCAGAGAACAGAAGCATTTCCGTCCATGCGTACGTATGCCGTTTATGGTGGTCAACCAAACAGAACAACTCCTGGATTAGTAGTGCCGAATCCAACCCGTTAAATTTAGGGCCAAATAGTGATTTGTGCCGGTTAGCCCCCTAACGTTGTCGGTATTATGTATAAAGCTACCTTAGAAAAAGGGCTTCAGCGATGCCCCATTTTATTGGAGTTACAGAGATTTCTGCTGATGCCGTCTTGGGAAATCATGGGCAAAGAGTTTGGGGATTCTTGGACCAACAAAGTTATGCCCACACACTTACGGCCTAATATGTCGCGAACCTGGTTTTTCTTTTTCAAGCGTATGCAGGAGTGTGGAGTCATTAGAGTTACCTACCACTGTTTTGGGAAATCAAATGCTGGAGGAATTCGAGCAAGAATTAACCGGGTACTAATTATGGTGTATCGCACTGTGAGCATCTGACAGCGCAGTGATTCGAAGTGAAATAAATGCACACCCGTTCATTCCCTCCTGGAAATGCACTGAAACGGTAAGTCAGCGTGAATTCTGTAACATTCACATGTTGGTCGGTCGGGTCCTCTAATTTGCTACAGTCGCGTGCAACTTGTCCACAACCCAAACAGGTACACTGTCTACTCATTTGGTTTGCGAAAATTATCCCCGGCTTGTAAACACTCAGATTCAAATGCTCTCGGTGCCTCCCCCATTGATACATTTCAATCGGCGGTTAACGGTTCGAAGCCTATGGGTGTCAATCAGCGTGAAGTTGCACAATCATACTCACTGTTAAAAGCATTTACGTAAGAAATGGCCCTGAACTCTAAAATCAAAGTGCTCGGGATAACGAACTTCATTTCGGAAATTTCGTTCTATCTACGCCAGTCGAAACAGCGAGCGCTAGATCTTCAGCAGGTACATATTGGTGGAAGGAAATCCTTCTCCATATAGTTTCCTATGTTTCTGTTATTTTTGTTGCCTTGTCCTCTGGATTCACGGAAATTCTGGGGTTTGAATGTTAGTTCAGAAATAGCAACCAGTGATTACTATCCTTTACCCTGATTTATTTTCGCTGACATGAACGAGCGTTAAGTTTTCTCGAATGTAGTAGAGGACAAGCAACTGGGAGGGCTTAACGATATGTGTCTTATCGTTTCAGCCAATAAGAAGCCACCATCGATTTCCCTGACCGACACCAATTTTCAGACCACCCAGAGTGGTTTCCTTATTGAGACATGTACTTCTTGTTTATTAAGTTGCTAAAGCAAGCCAAAAGGGTAATTGACCCAACCTATTTCCACTACGAACGAGTACCTATCGAATTTATTTTTATTTGCCACTGGTGGGTGATATCCTTAATTTACTAATCACTTCGTTTGAGGTAGCAAAACCAACTCTCACGATATGGCAAAAGGAATGCATGGTGCAAAGTAGGCTGAGAACCACTGCTGTTGGTCGTGAACAACCTATCGAAGCCCTAATTATGCGTGTATATGACCTCGGATGAAAACCACCGTAGGCCGATGTGCAGGGATCACAACAATGTCCTCTCTCAACAAAAGACTAAAGAAGGTATTTTGAATCCCAGCACTCAACTACATTTCTGCGTTCAAATTCCGCATGCGTAGCCTAAAACATAGCAGCTTATCAACCGCCGAAGTTGTGTGTTGATAGCTGATATATTTTCACAGCTATCTTGAGAAGCTGGTGTCTGAAATAGAGTTATGAAACCGTGACCTCTTCTCAGGGGTACTGCTTTATTCATTCCACACCGAGATCTGCCAGATGTCTGTAACCAGCAACATGGGTTGTGTCGTATCTCTTGGTATACTGAGACCGTATTCCTGTTTTATTCAGACTTTGAATAACTATTTCAACGCACGTTCGGCCCTTTTTAGTAGGAAACCCCTACGGTTCAAGATGTGTTAGTTTTTTAATGTATGCACTAGTTCAACAGTATTTGACACCAAGCTAATTGGGTGTTGGATGCTTGCAAATGATATGACCGATAGTACTTAGCGTTCCCCTGTTATATAAACTTGAATGTCTTTGGGTTTTCCTAATGCCTCACAAACATATCAGCGGCACAGGTAGTAAAGACCTAAAACGGGGTTCGAAATTGGAGACCTCCGGATGGGACTAGAAAAAACCACAGCGGGATTACGGACGGTCGTTGGAGGGCATGTTTTACCTGCAACTACACAGGGCGTATATATATATATATATATATATATATATATTACCGAATTGTCGGTGCATTGGCGCNGGGATGTTTTTTTTCCCCCTACACACAGAGTGTATATATATATATATATATATATATATATATATATATATATTACCGAATTGTCGGTGCATTGGCGCTTACTAGTTTTTTGGGTGACGCCTTCACTCGGGACAGTCCATAATGTTCGGTGAGTTGTTTTAGCCTCGGGTATGTCAATGCCATCCTATAAGGAGTTGGAGTACTTTGAACCATATAAATTGCTGAGCTGACACGGAAAAACCACGAAGCAGTTTACAGCTGTTCCATTATAATAAAGAATCAACGGCCGTGACTTAACAAAACCGATAGCGATTGAGTGCGACATAGAGGATGTTTTGTCGGCGTAGATAAGCCGCCACGCCTTATCGTCGTTTGTGCTAGCCTGTAGGTGAAAAAGCTTAGAACTAACGTTTTCTTGAAGACGGAACACCCTACTCGTAAGGTTGCTCGCGATCAGTATCCTCCCTCTTGTGCTCATCAGGTGGGCGCAACCCCTGAATTTGCAAACGTTGTGTCCTAATTCAAACCACACTGTACGCGACCCGCGAAATACAGTCATTTGAAAAAATATTGTTTCGACCGAAAGTTCAACTGAGTGCGCTGTACGAAGGCAACCCCATATTTTGGTCGGAGCGATATTCAAGATATTGTAGCATATTTTGTCAAAGACGGAATACACCACCAATGAGGCTGCTGGAAAATAATGCTGCGCTGCATCCTGGCAGTCAATTCCTCAATTTCACCATTCAGTGAAGAATAAACAATATGACGGCTTCCGACTAAACGCTTAGACAAACTATTCAGCAAAAACACGAATCACTGAGTGGCCAAAAAGAACCAGCGACATCCGGTTGGGTAATTTACTTGACTAGCTTGATGAAAGTCCCGAGTGACCTTGTCAAGCTAGGCGCGCACTTTTAAGCCAAGGGGGATACAAACGTGATCCCTGCATCAACTGGTGTCTCCAGTCCCGGTTACTGTTTGCTTCATGGTCGATACGTCCGACTATTTCGGGTCACACGGTATAGAGCAAAACATAGCCACCTGCACCATCAGGCTTGAAGGGCACTACGGTCTTTTGTCTTGCGGGGGGAAGATACGACTAGGAACCAGGTCTTTAGGAATTCCGGTCAGCCGCGTTGTTGAGTTCAGCCAAATGGACTGTAGTCTCAAACGCTGTCTTTCCAAAACCTCCGAATGGCAGGCTTTTTACTCATTTCAGGTGCCAAATTAAGTTCAACTCTCGGATTACAAGCAGTGATAAACAATTGGGTAATTTACTCAACAAATGCACGCGTGGATCAGCAATCGTACTAGCCAAGTTTGATTAGTATCCCGGTCAGAGAATGCGAACCAAGGAACAGCCACCTTAACACCACACAATACGGGTTCCTACAATTTATTTACCCGTGTCCGTTGGGTGTCTTGCTTTGGTTATGGCCTTAGCTAGCACAAAGGTATGGAGTAATCACAACTGGAGCGACAGATAGGATGGTTTTGCTCCCGGGTATCACGACCACCGGTCTGGCGAGGTCATTTGGGGGAACTTGGGTGAATTTTATGGTAAACGGTCGACTCCAATCCTCGTAGGGAAGTGCAGCCTATCTACCTCCCTATGTACTCATACGGTCCAGCAGCCTAAGTGTGTTTTTGACGAGTAATGCAGTTACACACGTCCCAAAACAAAGTAAACTGTCAGAGAAGTGAGCAAACTTGATAAACACCAGGGGTTTCACGCGATGTAACCGGATTGCACAAGTCCAACAACGCATACGAACCATACAAGTTCGGTGGGCAACAAGAAGTTAGAAGGAGAACTTTATCGAATATACGAAAATGCAACACACAAATGTTGGAGGAATTTCAGTGAAACAAAGCCAGTAAATGCGGTTGCATACTGATCGCTCAGAGTTGACAGTTGACTAAGACAAACAATAGCCATGAAAAAAATAATCAACCAGAAGGCTTGTCCCCTGATCCAGCAGTGAGTAGCTTGGGTGAGACTTCGTCTGCATCTGCTTTGGGAGCATCGGATTTGTCCATACGCAATCGAGTGAATGATTGAGACAATTGGGACTCAGCTTCTTCGTTATCGTCACCTGATGTTTCTTTTGTGCGATTGGACTCTACTGTTTCTGAAGAGGATTCTAGAGAGAGGTAACAAGCAATAAAGAAGAAATCAGTCGCAGTAAGATCAACGTCAACTGTTATGTTAGAAATCTTAAAAGGCTAGCGCCTGGTAAAAATTGGTCTCCCAGCGTCTTGGATCATGAGATACTGTTATGTAGTTGACAAAGCTTCCCTGATACGCTTCGGGGACATGTTGCGCGCTCAACCGAAGAAAACCGACTTACATGGAGAGTGAACGATTCGACTGGATGGGATGAGAGAATAAATTTTGTGTCCCTATGCCGCTGGAAACACCAGAAAAGACTGACCTCATATGAAGGACGGGGTCATAGTCGACCGTACGTCTTGGCGAGAGCTCCTCGGTATATATTATTCTAACAAACAGGGAAGCTCTCTAGAAGGAAGCAGGTATTGACTCTATGTAGCTCAGACAAGCCAGGAGTTGGACAACGTGGAAATTTCCCCTATTTTGCTTTACAGTAACTCAAGGATAATCTTTAGGATCACAGGGGGAATCACAGACAAGCCGATATATATATATATATATATATATATATATATATATATACAGGGGGTTATAAAGGAAGGGGGTACTGGGCGTTTGCCGTACGAGCGCTGCCATTTGTCCCCGACGATTCCGCTCCTCATTTATCACAACCAGGTAAATATGGTATCATTTCCACGAATGGTCATTGAGCTTACGAACAAATTTTAGCCCTTTTAAAGAGGTAATGTTTTTCGAGTGGTACTGCGCCATACTAGCATAAATAAACACACATCAGGGAAAATAATTCGCAATTTTAAATGGAATCGCAAAAACTCGGTCGGAAAATTAGGAAAACGAAAATCTGACGACCACCCCCTATTTAAGTAGCCATCCAGTGAGACTTTTCAACTCGAAGGTAAGTATACTTTGCTGATTTTCAAACAAGCCTCAACTAAGTTCAAATTGCTTCCAAACACACCCGATTTTTAGTGCAACTTGTCAGATAATTACGATGGTAAATTATAGGTGATGCTGTACTGTGACGTGATTGTGTGCTCACGCCTGAACGGACAGATATAACAGGCTAGCAGTGGGTACAACGTCAACCGTGCAAGATTTATCGCCACTGGTTGACCTTTAGATGGTTTTTATTAAGCACCCAAACGAGCCCATTTATATCTTACACTTTGGCCGGCACATATTACCCAAGTGCTCGCATGCAGTAGTGTCTTCTTCGTCCTAACAAATCAAAGTACGGTAATCTTTCATCAGAGAAAGCACCTAAGGGGGCGGCCATACTCAGTCAAGCCTTGGAAGTCGGTGCATGATGTATGTAGTGTTGTATGTTCCACTTTACTGTCCTTAGAATCTTGAGGGCCATAGCATAATTTGTTGAGAACACTTAGGCCTATCGAATTAGATGAAAAGGTAGGAGAATTTTTATTTCCTACTCCTGGTCTACAGTTTGAATTAATGTCACTGTTCTGACTTCGATGAACCATTTCAAACTGTTCCTCCACAAGCAACAATTTCCAAATCTTACTTCCGCCTTACTGTGGCTGTCCTTCGTAGACCACTCAGAAGCCCTACCACGCGCAGATTTCGATGTGCGGGTTCCCGTAAACACAACAAACGCACTTATGAGTAACCAAGCCTATCGTTTGACATCAACCTTCTAGTCGGCTGTCCGCTGCTCAGTATAGGCTACTGTGTCAAAAAATCCTCTCAGTCTGCTTCACATGTTTCAATTAACAGAATTCAGCCAGGTGAAGCCGATGAGACACCCAGCTAAACTCTGGTTGGATCCGAAAGGCTGCTCATGAAAGTAGCGTCGACTAAATGCCTTGATTCTGGATGCAGCTCAATCGAGACAGAATTAGATCAATTACCGACGTTCCGATCAGGCAGCGGTCGTTATAGCATAAAACTAATTGCCCAAGGATGTTGCCATATTCCTTGGCTCTCATATCTCTAAACCGAATATCCGGATCATGTCCGGAAGAGAATGAATCCAGGTACGTACCATTTTCAGTTGAAGTTCACTCCATGGATTATTTTCTAAAAAGGGTCTCACTATTGCGCTCTTAAATGGCGAATGACGACCAACCGGTGTGGTAAGTTTTACCTGACTCAGGCAAATCATGCATACAGTCCTGTTTGCTCCCTACGATTGACAGAATGTAAGGCAAACGAAAAAGCCGTGAAAGCGGGTGCGCACATGCGATAAATTTCGTGTATCACTCTGAAAACTCAGTGTTATTTTCGGAAAAATTCACTTGGATAAATCAGCCAGACCTCGCGTTGCCCGAAAAACACGGGTTCACGTTGACCAACAGAACTCAGTACATATCCATGGGATGAAAAAGACGTGGATACTGGTTACAATCATCATTTTTCTGACGACTTTCATCGTGAACACTTTCCCACCAGCACACCTACGCTATCACCCGTGATAAAAACAACAGAAAAACCTTTTGGCCCTATTAATTCGATCGAATCGGCTTAGTTCTGAGACAAAAGGATAGCTTATCAGGTGGTCAACTCCGCCAATAACTGTGGACCAAAAAGAACCGTTGACTGGACTAACCGTGATGGGATTGAAAGCTCGAAAACGGGCCTAGTAACGGCAAAACAACCGGTAGTGGGTGAACTTACTACTTTTGGCCTCTACTGCTTGTTTTACACCATCTTCGAATACTTTTTTGAACTCCTGAGTATCTAAAACCAGAAGCAAGTTTGTCGTCAGTGTGAGATAAGTCATTCAAAGGAGAAAACAGATCAATGCTTTTATTGGTGCCACATAATTTATCAATCCCGCAACACGTCTGAATGTTTTAGATAGGATCGCCGCTAATGTACATCCTAAATATGTCTCGCATGAACAAGTTAAGGGACGAAAAATAATGTTCCCCTCCTTTCATCGATCTTTCACACAACCTCGAAGCTACCTGTGAGCGTCTTTTTATTCTAAGGTAGACCCACTGTGAGATGCAATCATGAGTAGTTTTTAAGCGTAGACCCTTGAATATGAAGGTCCAAATTAATCTACTGAGTAGGTTCAGAAACAGACTGTGCACATCATGTCGTAGCATTCATCATCAGCATCTTGACTGACAGCAATAAATCAGTAATACATACTGGTGCTTGACTGCCATGAAACCGTAAAGGAAGAAAGCCTCACTGAACAGTGGGAAAAGAGAATAAGTCCCATGTCCCTAAAAGGACCAATGATAGGGTGTCTACACCTTTGGAAAGCAGTAAAATAATCATTCCTGAGTATCCCATCGTAATAAGACGCCATTAGCGTAATCGACCGAACATCCTTGGCGAACCTTATCCAACTGACCTTTCTGGATATTCGTATCCCAAAACAACTTGCAAAGTACTGCATATGCTATCATCACACGCCCAGGCACGAACCGTATCCTCCATGTCCAAGAACCATGAAACAAATTCAGGTGTCGACTTTGCCACCACTGAATATGGTTGCTACTGTCTTCATACTTCTGACTAAACTCTAGCAGTTACTACGTTCAGGATAGTCCGTGTACTCTTTGAGAGCAGAATTATCTATCGAAGTTCACTCATTTTCAAGTAAAGCAAGAGGTTCAAGAAGGGTTCAGTTGAGTCCCCCGTTAGCAACAACTTGGTTTGCAATGGAGTGTATTTAGCCAGTTACGTACAATTTAGTGCTCAGGTAGATTGACGGAAACACAAGGACCCCGTCTATCTGTTGAGCACCAAGATGGACGAAACCCATAGTGGGCTATCAAACAGTTTTCAGTAACCTAATAATTAGTGTATTATGTCAAGAATTATTTATCCTTGATCCAGCTTCAAAGGCGGCGAAGTTTCCTTAGGCAGTAGGGAATCACTCCAGACGGAAGTGTGAACTAGTGGTGTGAAAACCGGTTTGAACGTAAAAATAGTTGTACTGAAAAACGGAAATTGTCATACAAACGCGTCTCTCCTCACCTGAAGCACAAGAGAATCGAACGCCCAGGAACTCGGGCTTCGGAACCTCGTCAGCGAAATCAGCAAGGGTCTGCCAAACAAAGGCTCGGTCACTGTTACAATTGGGTCGCAGCTGCATGGTTGAAGTGATCACATGGTTTGCGCAAACCTGTCAATAATAGAGCACAAAACACATTTGTTGACAGTTACCGAAGTGTCGACCAGGTCAGGCCGGCAGTCAACACCATATCGACAGGCGGGTTTCAGCAACATTCCTTTTACTATTGCAGACCTAAGCCCGAAGTATCACATAAAAAATCGTTCAGCTGTAGCTGTGTCAAATTGCCATGTCACCCGAAGGTTGTTCGAGGGCTGGGATACGGCTAGGTTGCCCAAGCCTAAAACGGGGAGGTCGAGCGGCAGAAGTCACGTTCGAACCACGGACCTTCTGGTCAGTAAATTCGCGCTCCAATCACTTGGGCTATCTCACATAAACACATTAATAACCCCCGACTAGAAAGTGTATCAACCGTGAACCGCAATTGCACATCAGTTCGGTAATGGACTGATCTAGGGTACCGGAGACGGAAGTTCTGGTCCTAGCTTCCAATACCCGGCATAAGCTGATCAAGCTGACAGAGGACCGACACGTGCAGATAGGAGCTATGGGAGGTGTAATCACAACGCAAATGATGCTGCGTACCAGTTGAAAACAGACCATCTAGCGTGCAATCCACGACGGCTCGATGTATTATGGAACTACGAAAGCGAGGTTTTTGCACTTGGTTTTTACACTGCATGCTGTTCGTTCGGCTGTCTGTCGACGAGAAACTTTACAGTTGAGTGACAAACTTTGCGAGAGGTGGATTTTGAGCCAGTAAAGCCTGTTGGCAGAGCTATTGCTACGTTCAGGAAAGGGCTGGCATGGGTCCGTAGTTTTGGCACAAAAGTTATCCGGACCTTCTTTGACCTAGCGAATAGTGTCGGTCACTTATAGGCTCATCTAGCCATCACACGACTGAGAGTGCTGAACTAACCAAATATCTGATTTCAACAGGATGACAACCCACCACACTACGTTCAAAGTGTGTGCGATTAGCTGAGAGCAAGTTTCGAGATTGGGTAGATCAGCCAAAGAGGGCCGTTTGGTCGGTTAAGCAGGTCACTGGGCTTAGACCTCTGGACACTGTATGCTGAAACTACCTGAGAGTTACAGTCAATCATCGTGAACGAGCGCAACAGGGTCACTCACGAGACATCGAAGAACGTGATGACTAGATACATTTGTGCAAGAAAGGTGGTGACGTGTACTTCACTAGATTACAGTCTACTGTGAAGGCCACGTTGCGCCAGCAAACCGTCCAGAAACGTTTTCATGAGAACAATTCAAAAAAGTGCGCAAAGATGGGATGGGATGTTGTTAACATGACTAAAACCGGAACTTTCCTTCGATCTTTACAGCAGGATTAGTTGATCCTAATTTTTTTCAGATGGGTCGGCTTCCAGATATTCACCACCGTGGCATCCTTAGGATTGGATCGCTTAACGGTGGTCAGTAGACAAATTAATGGTGGTATAACTGGTGAATCTTCATCTGTTTTAAAATTTGCATCCATGAAGGAAACCAACCAATGTCTCCCGAAGAGTGATCCAGTAAATGATGAAATAATGGGAATCGAGGTGAGGCCTAGCCGGGTTTCCATATAACTGAGCCTCTCTGCAAGCCAAACTAATCATCCGAGGTGATTGGTCGGCCAAAGATAGGCATACTACAACAAACAGTTGATCCTGGATGTCAGCACCAACAATAAGCTGTTTGTACACCTCAAAACAAGAGCCAAAGGACGGATCCTGTCCGCGATAGACCGGTCTTTATCACAATTAATATTTGCAGAGGCCAATTTGTTATATAGACCAACACGCACTGTTCGAATGGGCGTTACTTTATCCTCACGGTTGGAAAATTCATGTAATATATA